GTGGTCATAACGTTATGCCTGATCAGTGTAGATTAGAGATGAAACGGTTACCGGTTTCACGGTAAACCGCGGTAAAATTAATGACGGTTAGTAGTACCGTTTGGGCTTTAAAGTATCGTTAAAACCGCGGTCGATTACCGTGGTGTGAAAACTCTAAGATTCGGAGATATTTCAGCCTTCTAAGAAGACCAAGTCTGACGTGTGGTCATATTTTGGGTTTTATAAGAATGCAGAAGGAAAGTTAATTGAAGATGACCACCCTGTCTGCAGAACAGGCCGAAAGAAAATAGCGGCGAAAGGGGGCAACACATCAAACTTTACGAGTCATTTCGCGACCACCACCCGCTACTTTTTAGAGAATGCAAGGTTAACTTTAACGTAGAAGTCCGTGGGGACTTCGAAATAGAAGAAATGTCATGGTCTGTGTGGTTTAACCTATGCTTATGGTTCGATAATAATATAAAATGAAGCTTTTAGCGTCAAAAAAAAGAAAAACAATCGGTGAATCAGCTGTGAATCGAAACTAAAGCTTTTACCACATTTCTGTGGAGCAGAGTCTCCAAAATGAGCTCTGAGTTAACAGTCACACGAGCTCTGGAACGAGACGCTGCAGAGGTTCAATCTGCACAGCTCCCCTTTCTCGTCTCGCTTGCAGTGTTTACTGTCTGAGAAGAGAATAACACCGTCTCAAATCACTGTGTCCCCTACAGAGGGCGCTACTGTTCAAACAAACACGATCGTCATTAACAAGCAGTTGAGTTTTAAATAGGGAATTTGTAACCTGTTGTTAATGTTGATTATAAATGACTTAGTCGAACGTTTCACGCACTCTTTGGGTGAAGGATTTGCTATTTCATGATCCACAAAGTGCACTACATAGGGAAGATAGTGTGCTTTGAGACGGGACCTCGCGCGAGTAAACGCTGTGTGCTGCTTTTAGGAAAAGTAGAGTTTCAGAGATTAAACTTCAGGAGTGTTTCTGGCGCAGCTCAGATGCGCGTTAATTTTAAGTTATGTTTTAGTTTTAAAATGCTTTTAGAGAAGCAGCTCCACAGGTGAAGACACGCTGTGTGAGTTCTACACTGTCTGCAGCTCACAGCACAGTCACACAGTTCCTCTGTGAGTTTGGCTGTTTTTCCTGGTGCACTGTATTGATTAGGGGTTCAGCGCCACAACGGCACAATAATGCTGCAGCTGCAGTTCGGACAGAAATCCCCCGAGTGCAGCACTTCTTAGAAGTAGTAATTTTCCATTAAGACCCGCCTCAGAGTTGGCCCAGATTTAATTCTCTATGCAGGGAAATCCCTAGTTATTGTAATTAATAATAATAATAATAAGAAGAAGAAGAAGAAGAAGAAAAATAATAATAATAACAGTAATAATAATAATAATAATAAGAAGAAGAAGAAGAAGAAGAAGAAGAAAAATAATAATAATAACAGTAATAATAATAATAATAATAATAATAATAATAATAATTGTAATAATAATACATTTGCTATTCTTTTGTTTACAGAGTATTACAAGTATTGTAAGTAATACAAACGTAATACTAAAAATGTACTGACCTTATTTTTCAATGTTTATGCAAACAAAAAGTGCATATTGCTGCCAATTCTATTTGTGTTAATATAAAAGTTGGTGAAACGAGTTTCAGTTTGTGTATCAGTATTTATTTTTTAATTTATTTTACTTTTCGAAACATTTGAACAATATCACGATAATACCGATAATCGTGATAATTTTGGTCATGATAATCGTGATATGAAATTTTAATATCGTTACATCTCTAGTGTAGATTATATAGCATGTTGCCCAGACCACAGTTCTCTCAGATCATGATCAACTCTCCATAATCATCTCTTTATAGAGATTATCATCCGTCATAATATGTGTTCATCCACACGCTATCATCTCAAGGCTATTATACCATCCTCCACAGTACATTTTATTGAAAATCTCCCAGATTTATCAACTTCGATCAGCTCTCCATCTGACCCCACAGAATTGAATATTATGCCCAAATGCTTAGAGAATGCTCTTCCTTCTACTTTAGATAATGTGGCACCACTAAGAAGTAAAAGAGCTAGACAGAAAAAGCTTGACCTATGGTACAGTGATCACTCTTGTGCTCTAAAACAAACTGTCCAAAGTTAGAATGTAAATAGCAGACGACTAAACTAGAAATATTATTATAGACTACAGAAGGGCACTTCCTGTTACACGTTCAACCCACTGTCAATTAACTTTCCTCTTTGACTGAACGTAACAAAAATAACCCTAGATTAATATCTAGCACAATTTCTAAATTACAACTAGACTGCTACTGAACTCCGGATATCACCAGCCCACAGCAGCAGCGATTTCATCATTTTTTCCAATAACAAAATTGAAACAAACTACACACTTAACCTCAAAAAATCTAGTGCCTTGCACAACCAATGCAGGTCTTGAGTGCTATGTAACCACAGGAGAGAGCCTGGAATCCTTCAACAGATGGAGTTAGTTCAAATTATTTCCTCCTTCTACCTGCATATTCATATCATATCCAAGAACTTTTGAGGCAGGATTTAGGCCTCATCATAGGATAGACAGCACTTGTGAAAATAGTAAACAATCCCTTTTCATTCTCTGACAAAGGCTATGTATCTTTGTTCATTTTGCTTGTTTTTAATGCAGCTCTTTACACAATAGACAACATTATCCTACTTGACAGTCTTGGACTTTGCTGGGCTTAAAGAAATAACCCTCTCCTGGTTCAAATCTAACCTGACTGATCACTATCAGTCTGCAAATGTAAACAGCAAATCATTTGCAAATACAAAAGTGAAAATATGGTGTCCCACAAGGTTTTGTTTTGGGACCTCTATTATTGGTAATATATATGTTGCCACTGGATATTAGTCATAAACATGGCATCAACTTGCCATGTTTGTCCTGCTGATGACACACAATCAAGCACTTCAACTAGAGCTTCTGCTAGAAACAAACTGTCTGCTTTAACGCTAAATGTAGACAACTTCTCAGTTATCAGGCACAACTGTGAAATACCTTGATGTCTTTTGTTGCACATACAGATAATATTACTAAAATAGCCTTCCTTTATCTTCGCAATATTTCTATGTTAAGAAATGCATTATCCTTAGACAATGCCCACCTTTTTTACCTGGACTACTATAATCTCCTACTGTTTGGATGTTCCCGCAAGAGCCTAAACAAGCTCCAGTTTGTCCAGAATGCTGCAGCCAGAGTCGTTACAAGAACTAGGAAGTCTGGTCTTATCTACATTGCACTGGCTGCCAGTTATATTCCATATTGATTACAAAATTCTGCTTTTGACATTAAGCTCTAAATGGCCTCGCCCTTCAGTACCTGAGTGAACATATCTCCTATCATGAACAAGATACTGGTTCACTATTAGTACCTGGAATTATTAAAGCAACAGCAGGGGACAGAGTCTCAGTTTTTAAGTCTAGGCTAAAAACCTCTCGCTTAGAAAAGACTTTGGAAATTTGCTTTTCCATTAGATAAAAGGTACAGATCTGGGGCTGTCATCCCGCCACTCTCAAAGGGGTGTCTGTGCTACCTTCTGGCTCTGTTTTTAGTGTAGGCTGTAATATTTAGACCTGCCATAGCCACTGCTTGTAATCTATTAACCCTATATTTTGTGTCCTGCAATGACCCCAAACAGAACCAACTGTCTCTGTGTTTCTTTGCCAAGCTATTGCCCATAATGTCCTTTTTGATGCTGTTGCAAGATGCACCTTGAAAGGGTGTTCCTGTTCGCCTGCCCTCCCGATCAGTTTCGTCCACCATTGAGATTCTTGCATGTCCATACACTTTCCTGCTGTCCCAGCAAGCCTCACCTTCATGTTCACTCACTCTCCTGATGAGATTGGTGCATTCTTAACATATTTACACTAACACGTCATCACCACAATCTTGGATTTAATTCTCATTCTCTCCTTGATAGACTTCCAACCGCAGGCACTGTTTTTCAAGGACTTATTCCTCACTGGCACTCTTATAGGCTTCTAACAGTAGCCGTCGGTTTTTCAATGGTTAATCTAAATACTTCTGCCCAACGATGGGCTCATTCTTTTCTTTATTCACTGTTCACTATTGTATATTCAGCAGTCAATTCCTCAATCTTTATTCATGTTGCTCTTGTTGCATTATTTTGTTTTGCTATCCAGTGTCAACCAGAGGAGGATAGGTTCCCCTTTTGAGGCTTGGCTCATCTCAGAGGTTCTTCTTCTAGAATTATGGAGGTTTTCCTTTCCACTGTCACCTTGGGCCTTCTCATTTGGGGCTTGGACTTGCATTTATATACATCTTCTTTGTGTCGACACCCTGAATCCTCCCTCGGTCACCATTGCTGATCCATACTCACCCATTCCCCCCTCACTCAGTGACACTCAATCACCAATTCACCCTCACTCAGTCGTCCTCATTCACTCCTTCACACTCACTCATTCCAACTTACTGAACCACGATCACATTCATCCTCTTTCAGTTACCCTGACTTATTTATCCTCTCTGTTACAATCACTCACTAACTCTCACCCATTCACCTTCACTCATTCAGCCACACTCAGTCACCCTGACTAATTCATCCTCTCTAAGTTACGCTCACCTATTCACCCTTACTCATTGACTCTCGCTCAGTCACCTCACCATCACCCTTATTCATTCACCCTCACTCAGTCACTTTAACCCCTTAAAATCCCAGGCTTTTTACATACTAAGCCTTATTATTCAGTAACTACAGGGACTTCAGTGCAAACTGGTTAAGCTATTCTTAGGTTATATAGGTGTGTAATAAAACTTTGGGCCCGTCGGCAGACCCTGGCCCACAGTCACTCATTCACACTAGGATTATGGGTAATGCTGCACCCTTACAGTACTCATGGCCTTAACAGACAGATCAGAAAATACTGAAACAAAAACTCAAACACACATACACACACAAACCGGATAGCTGAAGGTCAGCTGCTTACCTGAGGGGGCAGGCTGCTCTCTGTTCTCTGCATGGTGCTACACACACACACACACACACACACATATACACATACACATACACATACACATACACAAACACAGACACATACACAGACACACACGTTGATACACACAGACATACACATACACAAGCAGACAAACGAGGGTCCGCCAGGGAGGTGGGAGTGTTGGTGTGTTTTGAGCGTTGGAGACGGAGCAGCAGCAGAAAAAAGAACAAACAAGAGACAAACAGACAAAAAGAAAATAAGCATTAATAACATCATACACACACAACAGAACACACACAAACTGAGCAGTGAGGTGAACGGTGCCAGGGTAAAGCCACACACACACACACACACACACATACACACATACACACAATATTCTGGACAGAATGGAATAGGAGAGATTACAGAGAGTACAACTGAGGAAGACGTCATACAGGAAAACCCCACTGGCCCATGGAAACACTGCCCACTACTGAACCTCTTAAAATTCATCACCGAATAAACAAGAACCTGAGACCCAAAACCTCTAACCCCTGAGCCTACCTCTAAAATTACTCATCTCATCCCCCAACCCCTAATCCAAACCTATAAACCCTGAACCCTAACCTCTAAACTCAACCTAAAACCCCTTTATCCCTGACCAATTAACCCTAAAACCAAACCCAATGCCCTGATCCCTAAAGCTTAACCACTAATACTTAACACTTAAACTCCGAACCCAAACCCATCAATCCTAACACTTAAACTCCTAAACCCTAAACCCTGTTCCAGTCTTTTGCCTGCTCTATCACAGCAATTCAGAGAAAAAAATTACATTGTGAGGCGGAGAATCAGAAAGGAAACACACCTTATGACTGAATTCACTGAAATCAGTCCATTACATCTCACTCATGCTGCTAAACAAAATTAACCTTAATAAAAAGAAAACACTTCAGGAGCTTTAACAAGACAGGTTTACATGATTGCTTCATTTACAGGACGATTAAAATTATGATACACATCATATAATGTAAATTAGATTGATCAGCTACTCATCCTTAAAGGAATAAAACAACAAACTATTTCTAATAAACATCTTCATTACAGAAGGGAAGGAACTGATTCTGATTCATGAGGTTGCATGGTCAGTCTGTGGGAAATCACCTCCTGACTGACCATCTCAGATTAGCTCAGTATTTCCAGGAAATGATGTTGCATCCTGTAGATAGCATCCAAAACCAACACACTACTATACCATTTAAACAATACGAATGAATGCACCTCTAATGGTGAAGTACTGTTTTTGACATACTATTCAGTATGGTACTATGTGGTTGTAGGTGCAGCTACTGAGAAAACATTTTTGCTTGTTTCTTCATTAGTTTCTGAGATACACAGGATTTAAAAATTGGCCCTGCCTTTATCTTAAAATGAGCAGTACAGTAAAAGGTGTAAACTTAGATAACTTTTTGTTGATTTAAGATGCGTCAAAATTAAGAAATTCACACACACTAAACCTGCTAGGCCAAACACTAATAATCACATCAACCGAATCATCCGCTGACGGAAAAAAACACAGAAACTAACTGATTCCATTAACACACACACACACACACAGACACACACACAGTAAAGATCTCATAAATAGGCTGTAATTCTTAGGAAAATCAGGCTGCAATGACTCACTGAACACAAAACATGTTGGTAGTCCACTTAATTTATTTTTAATACAGTTCACAGATCCTGAGCAGCCACAGAGAGCAGAGCACTGCATGTAGGCCTGGGCCAAAAAAAAAAAAAATTATATATATATATATGTAGTCTACATATATGTATGTTGTAGTCTAATGGCTTATTAATGACCTGTAATAATCTAATAATCTGCTATTCAAGCTAAATTAGTCCTGTTAGTTCTCCTTCTCAACAAGACAATTACCACCTTTAAAGCATCATTGTGGGGTTGTTTGTCAATCACTGACATTGTCCTTGTGTGTGGATTCAAAAATTAGGACAAGGAGACAGAACCTCCAATGTCTAACAAACTAGCACAAGGAAACAGGACCACCAACATTCAACGAATCAGGACAAGGAGGTAAGCCACCTACACACTTGTCACTCGTCATCTCTACCCATCACCACTACACACCAGTCACAGCTACACACTTCCATCACCGCTACACACCAGTCACAGCTACCCACGCCCATCACCGCTACACACAAGTCACAGCTACCCACGCCCATCACCGCTACATACCAGTCACAGCTACCCACGTCCATCACCGCTACACACCATCACAGCTACCCACGTCCATCACCACTACACACCAGTCACAGCTACCCACGCCCATCACCGCTACACACAAGTCACAGCTACACACTCCCATCACCGCTACACACCAGTCACAGCTACCCACGTCCATCACCGCTACATACCAGTCACAGCTACCCACCAGTCACAGCTACCCACATCCATCACTGCTACACACCAGTCACAGCTACCCACCAGTCACAGCTACCCACGCCCATCACTGCTACACACCAGTCACAGCTACACACTCCCATCACCGCTACACACCAGTCACAGCTACCCACGCCCATCACTGCTACACACCAGTCACAGCTACCCACATCCATCACTGCTACACACCAGTCACAGCTACCCACATCTACCCACTCATTACCTCTACACTGCTAGCAGTGTGTGCATGCTACTCACCAATGTTTTTTCAGGATCTGTTTGAGCATCAGCAGAAGGCTCCATGTTTTACCAGAGAGAGCGTTCGTGTGTCAGTTTGGCTCAGAGTACAGCATGCCTGTGAACACACAAACACACAAACTTTAATAAGGCCATAAACATTCAATTGGTTGTATTTTAACCACAGAACATAAAAAAAACATAAATGATAATTATAACTACAGTTTAGTATTAGAGATCTAACAGCTCACAGATCATCAATTTGATGTCACATGGTTACACACATAACACATTAACACATCAAAGCACACAATAAACACACACACGCAGGCATGGCAAACAAACACCACCACTGGTCTGACTGCTGCACAGCGAGCTGAGGTGAGCTGTGAGTAAAAAGAGTATCCCTCCCACTGCTGATCTCTATACAGACCAGTGCAAAACACAGCAGCAGCACAGGACAGCCGTGTGTGCATGCATGAGCTGAAATACGCCCACACACATGCACACACATTCTAAAATAGTTTTATGTAGATTCACACAGTGCTTCAGCCTGTAGACTCAGTCTGAGTACAGCATCTGTCAGCTCAGTCCTTAAGTACTAGGGCACTCAAACCGTTTCTGTAGCTCCGGCGGAGCTGAAAAACAGAAGTCTGAACATCTACTTCCTCAGAATTACAGACACCACAATTAACATCAGTAAACATACAAAGTGATGAACAACAACAGGTGAAAATCATTCTGTTATTTATCAGTTTATGAACCTCAGAGAAAAAAAAATTATTTGTTTTTGATTTCTTCAAAACAGCAGAGCCATTATCTTCTGAAGACATCTGTGTGTATATGTGAGTGATGCACCAATCTGATACACTGGATAGGTATAGGAATCAATACTGACTTTATTAACCAGACCAGGTATCAGCCAGACATCACTGATCTACTACCAATACTATTTCTTAGCCATAGTCACTCTAAAATGGAAGAATGTCATTCCAAAACATGATACACATCAAATTCTCACTTTTTCTATTAATGGAACCCAGGCCCAGCTCTGGCCCTTTGGGGGCCTTAAGCAGGATTTTCTTGCTAGTTGATGTTCTGTAAAATTAAGTGCTAACTAATAACAAAGACTACTATATGCTATCTAAGTTATACACAATTATAACTGGCTACTTAGTGTACTGCTGATGATTGGATGCTCTTTTGGCATTCTAATATGTTACTTTTTAAATCACAGATCACCTTCTCAGCATGCTGGATCCAGGGGTCTGTTCCACCACACAGTCTTTCTTACTTATCCAGAAAACTATAAGTTTAGTCCAATGTAACCCTAATGACAGCTATGACAGAGTCGCTTTTTCACTGTTATAAATGCTTTACTTTCTACATAGGTAGTACTTTTTCCTTCTTTGGTGACTCCTCCTCTTGTTTCACATTATTAGCTGTTCGTCAGAAACATCATGCCTACCTGTGCTGGATTAACCCCAGCCTGAGTATGTAAACCTGGATTAATCACAGCCTGGGTATGTAAACCTGGATTAATCACAGCCTGGGTATGTAAACCTGGATTAATCACAGCCTGGGTATGTAGACCTGGATTAATCACAGCCTGAGTATATAAATTGGGATTAATCACAGCCTGAATATGTACATTGGGATTAATCTCAGTCTGAGTATATAAACCTGGATTAATCTCAGCCTGAGTAAGTAAACCTGGATTAATTACAGCCTGAGTACGTAAATCTGGATTAATTACAGCCTGAGTACGTAAACCATCTCCAAATATTACCGCGGTATACAGTCTTACTTGGGAAGAGGGTCTTAAGTGACGTAAAAAAAGAATAACACTTTTTGGCTTGTCCTGTGTTATTTCAAATCAAAAAAATAAAAATTTTACATTTTGTACACTTACAGAACCACCAAATAGGTGAACACACTGCATGATTTTCAATGCAGCATCCAATAAATGTCAAACCATTGATCTAACAATTTATAAATGCTAAACAGCTTGGATTGTAGTGTTTTAATTAGCAGGCCAAACATGCCACACAGCACAGGTTTGGTTCCAGCTAACTTATGCTAAATTTAGAGGGTATCTGATAGCGTAAATTTGATTGTCGATTGTAAAATCTGAAACCAACCGTGTTGTATGGTGTGTGTAGCCATTGATGAGCTATTGTTTATATTATGACATGTCATATGCACTGCTATCCTAACTTTTACCAGTAAAAAAAAAAATGAAATACAAACCAAAAAAGAAAGAAAGAAAACTATGGTGATGACGGTATTGAGCTCAACCTAGCAACAGGCATCATAGGACGGCGGGTAATGCGGGTATCGTCACAGCCCTACCCTGAACCTGCTTTGTTAGACAGACTGCAGATCCACTACTTCATGTTATCCAACTACAAAGCAAAAGAAATTAATTGGTTTTGGTTCAAAAGCTATTTTTTATTTCAACAAAATTTGCTTCGATTCATTACATTAATCAACAAATCCATTCAGCCATTCAAGCATCATTAAGAACTATAATAATAATTAAAAGTATTGAAATAATATAGTACACTTAAAGACTTCCCCTAATATTTCTCAGGTAAAAACTGAACTAGTTAAATTACTTCAGTTCATGGATATTGCAACAAAGACGATTCAAAATGAGCATGCTCAAAATAGACTACACTCTCTACACACAGGCAATACAAACAACATCAACAGTGTCTGTTTACATACACTATAAACAACATAAACAAACTGTGTGTGCACCAATAAATCGAAATCTTGACTAACGATGATACAAGTCAGAGGTGGCATGAAAATAAAAGAAAATCTTTTACTCTATTATGGTTATCAAGAAAAAGGCCCAGATTTTGAATAATGCTTTATGGAATTATTTTTCCTAAAAATCTTTCCAATCTCACAGTAATGCTATTGTGAAGGCACAGTTTAGAGCACTGCAGCACTCAGTATAGTTCAGTCCAAGCTCTGTACAGCCAGCCTGTCATGTGTATTCCAAATGAAGAACTTTGTTTGGCCATTTAATGTTGCTAAGTAATCTCTAATAGACTTGCTAACGTTGTTTCTGACACTGTATGACACACTCTTATCTACAGGGTACATATAAGCTAGTTTGAGATTACATATGGGGTATGGGGGGGTACTGTGCAACCTATTATTAGTATTAAGTTATTAGTTGACCTCTAGCTTCATCATCATCACCATAAAAAGAGTCACAGAGGTTCTTTTACTAACATTCAAGTCCAGGTGAAGGTCTCTGCTGGAGAAAAGTATAGTCGCTTGAGTTGGTGTCTGAGCAGGAGGGCATCACATTATTTGAATATAATTTGAATGTGTAGAACATTTCTGAATAATGCTGGCCCAATTTCACTACAGCACATCACTCCATCTCAGCAGTCACACACAGTCACACAACAGTTTCAGAACAAAATCATGAAAATAATCTGTAATGAACAAAAAGAAAACAAACAAGGAACTGGCTTTTGTTTTAATGGTACAGTTTAACAGAAGAAATGAGTTCAATACAATGGTCCTGTATTTACACGTGCCCACACACATCCATGTGAAATCACCTCCCAACTGACCATGTCACATTTGTTTAATGCTTTCAGGAAACAATGTAATGGTGTCCAATACACAGTGTGTAAAATTGATAGTATCTTCAATAGTTTCTGACAGACAAAGCATTTGAAAACAGGGTGTGGCCTACATTTTACCTTAAAATGAGTTCTACAGATAAACATACAAAGTCATAACTTCTAAACTGCTGATGCTGAATGATTTTTCCAAGTATTATTCTCTGGTTTAATTTGTGTTTATCTACCCAAACAGAAGATACAGGGATGAATGTTGACCATTTTATGGCTTACTGAATACAGTAACAAGACAAAAGCAAATAGAGCAAATAGAAGCAAATATGTTCTCATGGGAGAACAATGCTGCACACTGAGTCATACCAAAACTGTACGTAACTAGCCTGGTAGGCTGCAGTGGGGTGACTTGTGTGTGACAGCTGTGGTTAGCCATGGAGCTGCCAGCAGTATGCAACCTGGCTAAATTGCCTACCATAAAAAATAAACACATAAAAGTAAACATAATTATAAAATCCCATTTCCAAAAAAATTGGGACGCTGTGCAGAATGTAAATAAAAATAGAATGCAATGATGTGCAAATCATGCAACCCATATTTTTAAATAAATATTACAAAGACAACATATTAAATGTTGAAACTGACAAATGTTAATGTTTTTTGAAAAATATATGCCCATTTTGAATTTGATGCCAACAACACGTTCCAAAAAGGTTGGGACGGGGGCAGGTTTACCGCCATGAATACTGTCTTTTGAACTGTGCGCTGATAACAAGCTGAATGGTCTTTAACCTGGATGACACAGTGTCCATCATTTCCCAAAAGAAATTCAAATTTTGATTTGTCAGACCACAAAACACTTCTCCACTTCACCTCAGTCCATTTTAAATGAGCTCAGAGAAGGTGGTGGCATTACTGGATCCTGTCTATATATGGTTTCTTCTTTGCATTTGAAGAGTTTTAACTTGCATTTGTGGATGCAGTGACGAACTGTGTTTAGAGACAGTGGTTTTCAGAAGTGTTTCTGAGCCCATGCTATTTCCACTGCATAATCACGTCTGTTTTTAATGCAGTGCCGCCTGAGGGCCCAAAGATCACGGCCAGCAAATACTGGTTTTTGGCCTTGTCCCTTTCATACAGAGATTTCTCCAGATCCTCTGAATCTTTTAATGTTGTTATGTACCGTAGATGATGAAAAGCAAGAGTTCTTTGCTGTTTTACATTGAGAAACGTTATTCTTGAATTGTTTCACTATTTACTCATGCAGTCTTTCACAGAGTGGTGAACCCCTCCTCATCTTTACTTCTGAAAGACTCTCTGGGATGCTTTTTATATCCAATCCTGTTACTGACCTGTTGCCAATCTATCACCAGGTGTTTTTTTTAGCATTACACAACTTTACCAGCCGTTTTCTTGCCCCTATCCCAACTTTTTTGGAACGTGTTGTTGGCATCAAATTCAAATTCAAAATTCAAAATATTTTTCAAAAAGCAATACAATTTATCAGTTTCAACATTTGCACTGTCTTGTACTATTTTCAATGAAATACAGGGTTTAAATGATTTGCACATCATTGCATTTTGCTTTGATTTACATTTTGCACAGCGTCCCAACTTTTTTGGAAATGGGGTTGTATCAGAAAACCATATACTCACCACAGCATAATGCTACACAATGATCTGTAACAAAACCCTGTAGATAACTAGCGTGGTTGGTGGCAGTGAGGTGACTTGTGTGCAGCTGCAGTTAGTCATGGAGCTAACACTGCAGTTAGCAAGCTGACAAAAAAACAGCAAAACCACAAGTCAGCATGGAAGAAAGTTAAAAAAGTTAAAAGGTTCCTGCTTAGACACTGCTTAAATTGGTATTTTCTCCATTTTGGAGGTTCAGTGCTTTGAAGGGCTACACCTTCAGAAGTAAATTTGAGTGTTAAAATTCACCAAAGCTGACATCGTTGCAAACTTAATTCGCCTCTGGAAGCCTGCAGTGCAAATTCGCTCATCAAGGTGATTTCCATTTAAATGAATGCAATTTTGCTTGTGAAAATTCACTGGCAAACGCAAGTGTAACTGGGACTTAAAAGCTGTTACCACTTTGCAGACTCAGTATGAGGCAACTGCAGAAAGCTCTGGATAACAGCTCAGTCGTCATGCCAACGAAAGGTCACAACACCACAGCAGCCCACAGCAGAGGCCACAGAGACACATACCGAAACAAACACACACACACACTCCTTCATCTGACATTCAGCATTTCATGAAGGGCAAATTATGATCAGAGACATAATGAATTTGGATTTACTGAGGATTAAAACACCAGGCGATTTGATTTGAAAATTAGGCAGAAAGGCAAAAGGCTGAAAGTGTTAGAAGATTAGGACTCTGTGGAGCTGTGTGCTAGCGGGCGTTAATTAAAATACACATTACATTTATTAAAATTACTTTACAGTGCTAAGCGTTGAACTACATGATGTAACTAATGTAATGATTGCTAAATTACATTATGGTGCCAAATGTTAAACTACGCTACAGTGCTGAGCATTAAACTACATTACAGCACTAAGTGCTAAATTACATTATGACGCTGAGCACTAAACTACTTTACAGTGCTGAGCGTTAACCTACACTATAGCATTGTGCGTTAAAGTACATTACAGCACTAAGTGCTAAGTTACATTACGATGCTGAGCACTAAACTACTTTACAGTGCTGAGCGTTAACCTACACTATAGCATTGTGCGTTAAAGTACATTACAGCACTAAATGCTAAATTACATTACGAGGCTGAGCACTAAACTACATTATGGCACTGAATGTTAAACTACATTACAGCACTAAGTGCTAAATTACATTATGACGCTGAGCACTAAACTACTCTACAGTGCTGAGCGTTAACCTACACTATAGCATTGTGCGTTAAAGTACATTACAGCACTACATGCTAAATTACATTACGAGGCTGAGCACTAAACTACATTACGGCACTGAATGTTAAACTACATTACAGGACTGAGTGTTGAGCTACATTACAGCACTGAGCATTAAACAACATTACAGCACCCAAATGATAAACCACACTACGTGCTGAGCAATAAACTGCATTCATCTGTGAAGGCACGATTAATGCTGAATGATATATACAGGTTTTGGAGAAGCATATCCTGCCATACAGTCTTTTTCAGGGAAGGCCTTGATTATTTCACCAAGACAACGCCAAGCCACATTCTGCACGTATTACAACAGCATGGCTCCATTGTAAAAGAGTCCGGGTGCTAAATTGGCCTGCCTGCAGTCCAGACCTGTCACCACTGAGAACATTTAGCGCATTATAAAATAAAAAATACGACAAAGGAGACTCTGCACTGTTGAGCAGCTGAAAATCAAGAGAAATAAGAATGGAAAATACATTTTACTTTCAAAACTACAGCAATTGGTCTCCTTAGTTCCCAAACGCTTACAGAGTGTTGTTAAAAGAAGAGGTGATGAAACACAGTGGTAAACATACTCCTGTCCCAACTTTTTAAAAATGTGTTGCTGGCATCAAATTCAAAATGGGCATATATTTTTCAAAAACAATAACATTTCTCTCTTTTAACATTTGATATGTTGTCTTTGCACTATTTTCAAATAAAAATATGATTTAAATGATTTGCACATCCTTGCATTCTGTTCTTTTATACATTTTGCACAATGTCCCAAGTGTTTTACAAATAGGGCTGTATACTCCTCTGGTAATCACACTAGTTACTTCACATAGAATCAAAAATGTATTTTTACTTTACTTGATATGCAAATAGCTAAACAGTCTCTTACACTTAGTTCTACACAATCAAAAGCAGTCAGAGAGTGAAAGAGAACAGAGCCAAGTTGTGTTCTGCAATGAAAAAAGTCTCTGATATAGCATTATATATAGCATTACATGCAAGATGAAATCTAGCAGGATATGTATGCATACTTAAGTAAAATATTTTTTAGATGTGGCAACTTAAATGTTTTTTTTTTCCACAAGAACACAGAAATTAAACTCTAATCCCTCAACAATCATCTGTTTATTACAGCACAACATGCAACTGATGCTCTGATGTCTTGGTTCGTTTCTCATGTGTGACAATATCTCTTTTGTCCGTGTACAGCGTGCATAAATCCTTATACCTACGCTCCCATTCCACCACCCGCAATCTGATGAGATTACTTTTTTTAGGCCAGTAAGTTTAATAAAACAGAAAGTGAAAAATATATCTGAGTGCGACAGAATTGTTCATGTTAACTGGTCTAAGTTTATAGGAAAAAATGAGATTTCCTGTATCCAAGCCTTATACAGCCATATACCTTGAAAACTGGCAAAAAAGTGTGTTATACTGGTTGACGCTTTTGCATTAGGCACTGGATGTTAAACTACATTACAAGACTAAGTGTTAAAACCACACTACAGTGCTGAGCATTAACCTATATGTAGAATATTAAACTGGATAATTACCATCATCAACATTGTTATCTTCATCACCACCACCCTCATTATTACCATAACCATAATTTCAATGTCATCAACCATCATCACCATCACCGTTATCACTGCTGTCATAACCATCATCTCCACTACAATCACCATCATCACTGCCGTTATCACTATCACATCAACATCAGTAACTGTTATCAACCATCATCGCAATCACCATCTTCATCACCATCATCTTCACCATTATAATCACTTTACCATCTTAATCACCACCACCAGTCATCACTAACATCACATCACCATCACCGCCATTTTCACCAGCACTACCATCAGTATCACCACCTTCATCACCACCATTACCAACTACATCATTACCACCTTCACCATTGTTGTCATCATCATCACAATCTTTATCATCATTCATAACACACTGTTACCTATAAACATAAAAAAAATCAGTCTTTAAGATGGCTGCTACTGTTTTTAGCTATATGATGTAATTTAGTCTATGTTTATGAACAGTGAATCATACAGTGTCAGCAACTACACAGGACAGGACTGCATAATAAACAGAAGACAGTGTAATAATAAACAGAAGACAGTGTAATAAACAACAGAAGACAGTGTAATAAACAACAGAGGACAGTGTAATAAAAGCACTGAGGAGAGTGTAAAAACATTCTTAGGACACTGTTATAAACATAGAGAGGACAGTGTAATACATACACTGAGGACAGTGTAAAAAATACACAAGGGACAGCACAGTAAACACACAAATAACAGCGCAATAAATACACAAAAGAGAGTGTAATAAACAAAAGACAGGGTAATAAACAACAGAGGACAGTGTAATAAATACACTGAGAACAGTGTAATAAACACTTCAGGGACAGCATAACAAACAACAGAGGACAGAGAAATAAAAACTCAGAGGACAGCGTAATAAACATGTAGAGGACTGTGTAACAAACACAGAGGACCATGTAATAAACACACTGAGGACAGCATAATTATGGGCAACAGCATCAATCCAACCTGCAAAGACAGCAACAAATACAACAATCACAGCAACAAATATGCCTCATTTGTTGGTCTGGCCAACCCACTGCCCAATCACACAACAGGCCACTGCAGTGGGAACAGCATTTGACAGGCAAATACATCTACTGTCCTCAAACTCCAAGCTTGTGCTTCACTATTAACCTGCACACACACACATACACAAACAGCAACAGAGCACAAGTGGCCTGTGTGTGTGTTTGTGTGTGTGTGTGTGTGTGTGTGTGTGTGTGTATACACCCTCTGGATTCTGAGTAATAAAACCTGTAATAAAGCACCCAAGTACAGCAGGTGTTTGCATCATTTCAAGCTGATATTCTCATTGTTATTAATAAATCAGCTCATTACTAACTGCACTTAAACATTATATTATTCATCCTATGTATATTGTGTCTTTAATGCGATTGTTTGCTCAGTATGGGTTTACTGAAGGTAGGCTCATGTTTCTGACTGTTCTGAGTGGTCAGCGAGAGTGGAAATCTGATGCCTGCCACTGACCTCTCAGCCTCTACATCAGAGACATGCACACATGGACAGTGTGATAAAATATGAATACAATATGGACAGAGAGATTTACAGATGTTGAGTGAAGAGTGATGCATCAGCTACATCTGGATCACAAATCCTACACACACACACACACACACACACACACACACACACACACAAGCAGATGGAACTGATTTAGGAAAAGCAGTAGCTCAATGTTAGTTTAACAGGTAAACAGATTAAAGGGGAATTGAGCCCATATAAAACAATTTTCTGCATAATTCACAGATTGAGATATAAACATCAGTCATTCAGAGTGGTTTGATGTGAAATGGTTTGTTGTAGAGAAACTTAGACTCTGATTTCTTTACAGTGGTGGTGATAGGAAGCAGCGGTCGTGATGTCTACAACACAAATAAAGCCATTTCATTTACTATCGAAAATCACTTCTGAGGTTTTATATGACATGTTGCTAATGATAAAATAGCAGTAAATCCAAAAAAATAAGTTTTTGGGGGACTCTTTTGCTTTACGTCGCCCTGCATGCACCTCTCCACCATGAATGGATTTGAAAAAAATATTTTTTAAGGCCAAACGTTATCTCAGAACTATCAGAAAACAATGTCTCAGGCATCAGGCAGTGTATTAATAACAATTTCATGTAATAGCTCTAAAGGAGCTTTAAGAGGCATTAAACTCTTAAGATTTCTGGTTCCTATCACCATCACTGTGAAGAATTCTAACTTGACAAGTTTCTTGAGCGTTTCACATCAAACCACTCTGAATGACTTTGTTTACATCCTAGTGATTTCATTATGGAATTCCATCCTAAATCACTAAAATCTCATTTAAAATCACTAATGCTGATGATATATATACACACACACACACACACACACATATACATGCATAAATGACTGAAGAATGAAATAAGCAGCTGTTGTTAAAATAGGATGTTTAGATGGTGTGCGATAGCAGCATTAGCATTCTTCCTTTGACGTGTGAACTTCTGTTTTCGCCTTTTGGCGTAAAAGCAAAAGAGAAGAATTCTTAAGTGTCATTTGTCTTTAGAGGTAAAAATCCTACCCAAAAAACACAAACTGTTACAAACCAACGGTATAATTAATAAAGCTAACAGTACAATTAATACAGCCAATTTTATTACTACAACAAAAGAGAAAGTGCACATAAACAGAAGTGTGCACTACTGTTTAATCTCACTTTTCAGATCTTTATTTACTTATAGACTGATTGATTGATAGATTTAGCGTTACTGTTAGAGTTTGGGAGTCCTCGGGTGCCTTGTCAGACCTTGGTCCCACACTGTGCATAACTCAACTAACCCTGAATTATCAGCATTCACTAAATATTTCTTGAGCTGCTGTATATGGAGAGGAATTCGTGCCACATCGAAAAGTAATCTACAGTGGAAAAACGAGAAATGCAATTCACACATGACATTACTTTTCCTTAGTGACATGCAGAATATGTGCCAAAATGAAAAACGTCGCTTGACCTCTTTACCGAAAAACAACAGATGAGGATTTGCTTTTTTAAAAAGAAAATGCTAAATTTGTGTCAGAATTGAATACAACCGAATATTGCTTTCCCCCATGCAGTACTTTAAATTGATCTCACTGAAATGCAATCATAACAGTGAAAACAAAGTTATGATTTAATTTGACACATGCCATTACTTTTCCACGGGTGACATGTGGATTAAGTGCCAAAATGAAAAGCAAAAACTCCGCTACAATGTAATGTACTTCAGACATACTGAAATGCAGCCAAACAGTGAAATGCAGTGCAGGGATTGCGTTCAAGCAGTAAATTGGGAAATGTCCGAAAAAGAAAAGGAACTTGATCCATTACATTGACTTAACGTTGTTTTTTGTTTGTTTGAAGTGCTGCACGGTGGAAAGCAATAGCTGTGCCTTCATTAGCGTTATATGTCAAGATAGACTGCATTCAACTCTGACGTGAAGCCAGCATCTCGTTTTTAAAATGCAAATCCTCAGAGGTCAAGCGACGTGAAAACACTGCAACAGAGGCTCTAGATTTCATTTTGGCACGTATTCTGCATGTCACTACTGCCTAATGTCATGCGTACAATGCATTCCACGTCTGTTCTCTGTAGTGACTGCTTTGCAAAGTGGCACGAATTCCTCTCCACAGCTGTATGACGGGAGTGTGAGCTGGAGGGTCAGTCTGAGTTTGACGTGTTTTAACACGAACCTGATTAGACGATCTGAAGTGTTTAATCCTCAGAAACAGCAGCAGCAGGTCCCCCTCCTCCTCCTCCTCCGGAGTGAAAGTGAATTTGTGTTCCGGCTGTAGTAGGAGGATCCACACTGATCAGATGATAATGATGATAATGATGAAGGCTGTAGGTGAATATGAAGTTAAAGCTCCGAAATGCTGTTCAGCCAGATGTTCAGAAGTGAGGGTGAATCTGCAGATGGTTTAATCTGAACTCCAAAAAAAACGAACAAAAGCCTGAAGATGCGCTTCTTTACCATCCGGGCACAAAAAACACACCTGCGACCAACTCACAGACTCCTAAATCAACACCGGTCAACTCTAATAAACGCTGGTGAACATTAATGAACGTTTACAAACAGGTCGTACATCAACGCGAATCATCCTCAGAGCAGCATGAAAACAGAAGCGTTTTTACTGCAACTCTCCCAAGATGGCAGTGCTTATTTTTTCAAAATAAAAGTCCTAATGAAAGAAAACATGCCGAAGGCGACAAATCCAAAGGCTTTTATTAACGAGAGCTTTTTATTTGTCAGCTCCTTTCTCGAGCTTTCCGTTAGCTAAATGGTGCAGCAGTTACATTCTGGCGCCTCATTCGAATCAGAAACTGGCGAATCTATTTCCTTTGTTTGGATTTTATTAGGACGTTATTAGCTTCACTTCTTCTTTATAGGTCAGTTTCTGTACATTTCGGGGCCATCTTTGACCCGACACACACAAAACAAATCTTGAATTATTTTTTAAGGTGTTTTAGAAGCTTGAATATCTACAGAAGGGGGTATAAAAAGGTGCGTATTTAAAAATAAATATTTATTTTAGTGACGCGTACACACACACACACACACACACACACACACACACACAAATAGTTATTCAAAAAATAACTAATGTATAATTTGAATTAGGGAAGGTGAGGTTTTGTGCAGGAGAGGAAATGGTTAACTTTCCAGAACTGTCCCAGAGTGGATGCTGCTCAGAGTCTGTAAGAAAAAAAAAAACACTAAAAGCACCACTATTACGCCCGCTTCCTGAGGGGAAATTTCAGAACAGGAACTTTCAGATCAGGCGAGTTCAGTCTCATACACAAATGCAGATTTTTATAACAATAAAGCTGGAGATCACCTGATTCATTTAATCTGTTAATCAGTCTTCAAACTATTGATGAGGTGAGCTCTTTGTTGGAATGAAAAGCTGCAGCTACGCCTGCCCTTTGCGAATGGAGACCCCTGATTTAGAGGTTTCTCGCTGTAGGAGGACACTGTTCGGAGTCAAAATTGTTTGTTGAGATTCTGTTCAAACCCACTGAGTAAACCTACCACCTGGAATTAAAATGAAAAAAAAACAAACAAAAACTATAAACTTAAGTTACTTAGGAGGAGAAAATCTGAGCACGGAGGAAGAGCAAAGGCACCAGAACATGCAGAAACTCTAAAATGTAACCTTACTTCTTCAGTATATTGTGAAGGAATCTGACCTTTGGATCTGAAGGTCAGATAGAGCAGCACAGTTGTAAACAGATCTCTACAACAAATGTCTTATAGAAAGAAACCAGGCTGCATATTAAGTTTTTTCATCGGGAATGTCAGTATTTGTAGGAAGTTAGAGACATCTTGTGGTCCAAACTGGTATTACATTAGTGATGTATTGTGATCACTGCAGGTAACTACAATTTGATCTGCTTATCCTCTATTATCAACTCTACATCAGCCTCCAGTCTGATGTAGTCTCGTGACACAGACAGACTGAACTGGATCTGAGTTTCTGAAATGAAGATGATGTTTTATGACTCGTTAAAGTTCATTAACTAAAATGATTTTTAGTTCAAAGTTGAACAGTGCAACAGTCTTGACTTTACAGAAGCTCATCCCACAGCACAGTTCATTGTGTGCTCAGTTACTGTAATGATGCAGTCATATATCAGGTATTGATGATCAATACGTTAATGATGCAGTCATATTTTCTTTATTGACGTTATTGACTCAGTAAGGTAATGATGCAGTCATATATCAGTTATTGATGATCAGGAAGGTAATGATGTGATCATGTATCAGTTATTGATGATCGGTGAAGTGATGATGTGATTGTATATTTGTTATTGACAATCAGTGAGATGATTTGATGATTAATCAGGACCTGATGATCAGTAAGGTAATGATGCCATGATGTCTCTGCAAACTATCAGTGCCAAAAGGATAAAGATAGAAGCTAAAGCTTATAAATCAGTGAGGAATTGAGATGCCTCACCACTTTTGATAACTTTTTTTTTGTCTGAAGCCTTTGCAGGAGAGTGGAGGTGTTATAGCCACAAAGGAGGGAGAGGGGCAGCTCTATATTAATGCCCATGCTTTTGAAATGGGATGTCCAACAAGCTCATATAGGTGAAATGGTCAGGTGCTCTTTTGGACATAGTGTTCATGTACAAAGTATGTTCTGTAAAGAACTTTCCAATGTCCGTTAAATTGCTGATGTATTTTGCCTAAATGTTTCCTTTGATATAAACAGCTTCTAATCTTGGGTCACACCAATGTAAGTTCTCTTTTTCACTAACCTTTTCAGTGGCATTTACACATGGACACGGTTTGGCATGGAATACTTAAAAACCAGGCTTAGCATGTTTTTTTTTTGACAAAGTTAGCTAATTGTGCTTGGTGGGATGAAGTACCAAAGTACCTATTCGCTATTCGATTGGTTCTACATGTATGTCAGTATTGTGCCGTAGCATCCTTCTGCATTATTTCAAACTCGAAAACAGTCACATGAGTTCAGTTATGTCACATGGACACCAAATAAATCAAAGCAGAGCATGATGTGAAATCTATTATTCAATAGTAATAGATATTAATAATTATTCAATAACTTTAAAGAAAAAGGCCAAAAACATTCCTTAATTTTAATGAAAGTTTATTTAAAAAGATTTTATCGCAAACAATTTTGGAGCATTTCTATTGATCATTTATCATGCCATTTTCAAACAATGTAAAGGGCAGGTGTCGAACTCGAATGATGTAGAAAAGTAAAAATCACACACACACACACGTTGTAGCATTTACTATACAAGGTTGTCGTTGTCGGTCTAGTCAAGTTGGTTTGTCAAAGCAAATGATTCATTGTAAAAAGGATAGGACCCAGAGGTCATGATGTCTACAACAAAAATAAAGCCAATTTATTTAGCATCCAAAAGCACCAGAGAATCTATATGAATCTGTTTTTATATGTAACGTTGGTAATAGTAAAATGGTAGTAAATATGAAAATAAAAGCTTTCCTTGGGTGATATTTTTCCATGTAACACCCTGCATGTACCTGTTTGCCTTGAATGGATTTTAAACATATATCATAAAACAATGTCTCAGATGTCAGATGCTGTATTTATAACCATTTATTGTAATAAGTTTCATAAATATAAACTCATTAGATGTCTGGTTCCTATCACCACCACTGTAATTTTTTATAACACATTATTTCACATCAAACCACTCTGAATGATTTTGATTTTACCTTAAATATTGGATTTTGCTGAAATTCTGAAAAATTGGAGGAATTCCCTTTTACAAGGTCATTATTGTACTGATTTATATTTCATGTTTCTCAGTCTATTTAAGCTGATATACCAAAGACAACAAATCTATTTGTATTAAAGTAATTTAATTAATTAACTATAACGAGCAAATCTTTCAAAAACTTTCTTTATGTGCTTAAAACTTTTTCAGAGTGATCTTACAGCCTTTATCTAGCCATCTTCCTAACAGTTTTTCCACAGTAATGTGTAAGATCCACAAGCCAAAACCAACTTGAATGTTGTAGGGAACGAACTGTACGTAAGAGGACTTATGTGTTCAGCTTATGTGTTCTTTGCCTCCAGATGCATAATAGCATTTTTAATAAATGTTTGACTTTGTAACAGTTTGTTTGTCTTGCTTTGTGTAGAAATTTGAATGCAATCTAATTTTTTACAGTGATATATGTGTGAACATTGATTTACAGGAATTAGAATGTAGGATTTCAAACTTTTATGATAAAAATAATTTACTGCAAATTACTGTCTTTTTAGGGCTTTACTGAATTGTATTGGCAACTCCTTTTGCCAGTAAACTACTGTAAGTAGATATATATTACATTACATTTCTTTAAACTGGATTACAAGTAAAATTAATAGTTACCGTAAAATAGTAAAATAATAAAATAATAATAAAATGTATAAAATATGAAAAAGAAGTTAAAAACTTATTATTTTGCCTTACAATGCCCTGCATGTATCTCTCTGTCATGAATGCATTTAAAAATACAAGTTTTAGGCCAAAATTGTATCTTAAAACTTTCATAAAATAATATCAGACATCAGGTAGTGTATTGTGTAATAGCTTTCTGTGAGGGCGGCATTAACTCTTAAGACGTCTGGTTCCTATCGCCACCACTGTGAACAATTGATATCAAAACTGTTGATATCAAGTGCCTGATTTCCAAGCCTCTCCCCTTTTAACAAAGGGATTAAGATTAGATTAAGTGACCCATATTAGTCCCACGACATGGAAATTTCACTTCTGCATTTAACCCTTGCAGTGAAACATCACATACACACTAGTGAATGCACACACACTGGGGGCAGTGAGCAGCCCTATCCACAGTGCCCAGGGAGTTAGGGATTGGCTGCCTCGCCTCAAGGGCACTTCAGTCACGTGCTGTCGGCTCAGGGGATCGAACTGGTGACCTTCCGGTCACAGGGCTGGTTCCCTAACCTCCAGCCAACGACTGCCCCAATAAGATTTAGCGAAGTGAGTGAACTGAGTGATCCAATATGTATTTCTGTAGAATCTACACTACCAGCCACTTCATTAAAACCACCTCCTTGTTTCTACACTTACTGTCCTTGGAGTTTTTAAACACTGTGTCCACTCACTGTCCACTCTATTAGACACTCCTACCTTGTTGGACCACATTGTAGATGTAAAATCAGAGACGATAGATCATCTGCTGAAGCACAGTTTGTGTTGGTCATCCTCTAGTCCTTAATCAGTGGTCACAGGATGCTGCCCAAAGGACGCTGCTGATTGGATGTTCTTGGTTGGTGGACTATTCTCAGTCCAGCAGTGACACTGAGGTCTTTAAAAACTCCAGCAGCACTGCTGTGTCTGATCCACTCAGACCAGCGCAACACACACTAAGATGCCACCACCACGTCAGGGTTATTGCAGTGCTGAGAATGATCCACCACCCAAATAATGCCTGCTGTGTGGGGGTCCTGTGGGGGGTCCTGACCATTAAAGAACAGGGTAAAAGGGGGCTGAACTGATATAGCCTATCTGCCGTGATCAAATTTTGCCTAAGGATATATTTCTCACATCTGGAAATATAGTTATGTAGCCCTTGTGTCTGTGTAAAGCTTGTGGTGTGTGCTTGAGAAGGTTGCTGTGAGAAAAGATTATGCCCATCTCCAATCTATCCTACCAGATATGGCGGCAGCATATGGTACAGAAACTGGAACTGGGTTTTTACGTCATTGTATGACTGGGTGAAAGGTGACCATTCAGGGACTCTTGCTGACGAACACTATCTCTGATGATTAAATCTCACCAATCTGATACATCTGACAAGTCTGCTACACGATACTTTTGAACTGTAACGATGAATCAGCTGTTTTAGCAGACGCACTGTAACATTCATGAAGCTGAAAAAACATGATGTTGTTTTGACACCGCCCCATGGCCTGTGCTGATTAGCGTCATCCAATGTTTTTTACTGAGTCATTAGTATTAAGTTCCGATAAGTCTTAACGACCAATCACAGATGTAATTGTAGTATTATTTTAAATGTAGCGAATCAGAAGTCGTGAATTTGATTACGTTTAATGTACGTATAATTTGCAGAAATGTATAAATACTTAGACGAATTCTGTGTCAGATTGGAAGACACCTGCAGGTGCTCTCACCCCCACCTAACGCCCCCCGCCATTTAGCATTTAGAGCTTTAGCGTGCTGATTTTCTTTAAACAGCTAGCACAAGAAAGTTGTTATTAACACATCACTTTTTAGAGTGCGTTAAAAGGGAGCGGCCAACCCCTTCAGCTTCAGAATAGTGGGGCTGGACTTCTCACAAAACAATGACGTGAGGTGAAAGAATCTGTTTCTAGGTTTGAGAAATATGGAAAGGACATAAACGTGTGATTTCTTGAGTTATTAATAGTTAATAGAGTTAATAAAAACACAAAGATAATTCAACATTATGAGCAATAAAGAGTTCATTAGAGGGTCCTATGTTTCGCACATTTGGTGTGATGAGTCTATCGGTTATTGACGATAAATATTGTGATGATGTAATGTATCAGTGACGTAATGCTCTCGCCGTGCGGCCCTCGAACCCTCCTGTTTCCCATGATGCTCTGCGAGGCCCAGCAGTAAGATGGCGGCGGCGGTGGAGCTGGAGAGGGAGGCTCTGCGCGCGGAGGTACAGAGAGCTGCAAACATAAACACACGCGTACATTCACTCGGGGGGACAGGGGGTCATGAGGTCGTGGGGTCCGGGAACAGATACACACACACTCAGCACGGAGATATCAGAGCGAAACTCCGAGACACAAACACAGCGGCTAAACAGGTTAAAGGGGCTAAAGGGGCTAACGGCTAACTCGCTAACCCGCTAACCCTGCACTCTGCGTAAGAGCGTCACACTCATCAGTGAAACACCGTGTTAATGAATTAATCTGGATATTAATGCGTTCATGAGCAGATCGGCGGGGCAGTGGTGGGTTACTGCGGGGATGTTGATTACTGTGTCTGATACAGTGTTTCAGGATGCTGCCGTGTTCTCTCTCTCTCTCTCTCTCTCTCTCTCTCTCTCTCTATGTGTGTGTCTGTGAGAATGAGCTGAGCACAGCGGGTCAGTGATGGAGAGAGGCTTGGTCAGTTTATGAGCACATTGTCACTGATGGTCAGTGATAGTACCGTTAGCATTGCTATAGGGTTACTGTTAGCTCAGCTAGCCTGCTGTTAATAGGTGTCAGTTTTAGCACAGTGTTAGTGAGGGTTAGTGTTAGTCAGTTAGCACCGCTATAGGACTTGGGAATGGACGTCACGTCCCGCTGCATTATGGGATCGTTCTGTCATATTGGCAGGGTTAGTTCTTTGTTTATGTGCTGCATATACCCTCACTCTTGTCATGCTATATATTGTAACAAATGAAATAAGAGTGTATCTTAACCAACCTAAGAGGAATGCCAAGCATCTATATAATGTTAAAATTAGTCTTATTGACGGTTTGAATTGATTGGAGTGAATGATCTGTATATGCAAACATTACCTGCCCCTTCTTTCCCAGGCATTTCTTAGCTGGTGTGAGGCTGAAGTGCTTGTTCCATTAAATAGGTCAAGTTTTTCAAATCACTCGAAGCCCCTGTACAGTTTACAAATTCTTATTTCCCGCAGCCACCGGCAGATTTACCTCTGACATCTTTCACACAGCTACTGTAAATTTAACTACTGCCGCATTTCTCTAGTAACTGGCAGATTTAACACTATTCCCCAGCTGTTGGCATATTTAACCAGATTTCATACTATCTATATTCAACTTGATACAAGTTTTGACATATTACGTTTAAAGTAGTTTTTCAGCAACCTCTGCATTAGCAAACTAATGACACTGTTACTGTACTGCACAATATTGACTCCAACAGTATCCATATTAGATCACACAAGTCACTGAAGTTACTAACACAGCTTACACAGCTTAACTTACTTTACCTTGTACGCTACATTTTAGCTGGGAAACAGTACATTTTAAGACAAACCAATGTTTGGTGATTAGTAGTGTTAGTATCACTGCACACCTTAACTAAACGCTGAGATTTGCCTCTTACATGCCAGCTTCTTATTCCAGTATTCTGTTCCACCTTAAACATGCAGCAGTTACATCCTGGCGCCCAGGAGGACTTAGTTAGCTGGTTCAAAATGTGATAAATCCACTAAATGATGCTGAAAGTTTTATTCCATTAAATGAATACAGTTAAATATGGAACTTAAGATTGAGCTTTATGCTTATCCGCACTCTCTCTGCCATGCTTCCCCTGTGCTGTTTGACTAGAGATACATCTGAATGGCTATGAAACCTTCCTTTCTGATCTGCTTGCCTTGATGTTGATCTGGTCTGTGATCTGGTAGTCATGTAGATACACATAATAGTCATCTCTCCAAACCTGTTTACTGAGACCATGAGCTACAGATCAGCCAAAATAAAGGAAAGCAGTTTCACTGTCTTAAACTAAACTAGACTGACAAACAGTGCCACAATGGCGAATCTACCATTAAACTCTGCGTTATGACATCGCATTCCCAAGTCCTATAGGGTTACTGTTAGTAGTTAGTGTTAACCTGGACAACCATGTGTTAATAATGAGACAGTATGAGCTCAGCACAGTGCAGTCATAATGTTAAGGGTGTTATTGTTAGTGTTACTTCTGGTGTTAGTGTGTTTTTGTTATTGTGGTGTTAGTGTTAGTGTTATTTTGGTGTTAGTGTTTGTGCTTTTGTTAGTGTTATTCTTAGTGCTCTTTTGGTGTTAGTGTTATTTGTGTTTTAATGATGGTGTTATTGTCAGCATTACTGTGCAGGTAATGATAGTTCTAACGTTATTTAGGTCTTAGTGTTATTTTGGTGTTATTGTTACTGTTGGTGTTAGTGTTTTTAGGTGTTAGTGTTGTTTATCAGCCTACAGTTTGATTTGGTTTGTGTTTTGGTTCACCATTCTGTATTCTCAAACGAAATTCAACTTAAGAAAAATATGACTGGTTATTTTGTTGCACAACTTTACTAGCAACACTACAGCGGGGAGGCAGGATGAGTGCTAGAGTAAGTTGTTTGGTGCTGGTTGTTTGCAAGCTTTGGTGTTAAAAACAATTTAACACCAAACAATTAACCCTTTAGAATCTAATAACACAACAAATAAAAACTTCTCTCCATCCCTCCATCCTTGTCTCCAGCTGACACTGCAGTCTTCAACACTAAATCCCTCTCTCTCTCTCTCTCTCTCTCTCTCTTTTCTCTCTTTAGGAGTTAAAGCCGCAGGGCCATTACAACCATGGCTACAGTGAGAGCGTTAGCCGTAAAAGCCATGTGGATGACTACAGCACCTGGGACATTGTCAAAGCCACTCAGTGAGTTACTCTATTACAGGCTACACACAGACACCCTTAAGATTAAAGCAGGACAAAGAGAATTTGCTGGTTTGGATTTGGTTGCAGGGTGTTAACTGGTTTGGCTCAAACAAAACAGCATCTACTAGGCTACATTCACATTATGAGGCCTCATTGCTTGGTTCCAGTTTTTTGCTCAGATCCAGTCTAACTTGATGGTTTACATTCGTGTAGGTATCTGATTCAAATCTGTCATTAATGTGAACAAACCTGTGTCCTGAAACGACCTGCATGCAGGTAAATGAACAACATGCATCATGAACAACAGACAGACTAACCAGCATTATAAGCCTTCGTTGCAAAGATAATTTGCTCTAAACAGCTTGCAGCTGGTTATTATTAGAGCAATATGAAGGAAAGACAGGGTCAAATGCTTTTACACAGTTTACTGGCACTAACTTCAGGTGTATGTATTTGGATCTGACCCTTCTCATTAAGGTCGCATGGCAACGAATCGGATATGTATCCAATCTAAGCCCACATTTGAAAGTGGCCCAGGTCAGATTTGAAAAGAAAGATTTGCGTGTCTGCATTCTGAAAAAACATCAGATCTGTGTCACATTAAGACAAAAAAATGGATTTGTGCCATTCCAGCCTGGCAATGTGATTTTTCACATTGAAAGAATAGAGTAGTGAAAATTGTGTAGTAATCATTCTAGCTTTATTGTCTTTTTCTCTCTTGTACTGTAAAACGGTGGTTTTGAATGGCAAAAGATACAAAAATATATGGTCAGACTTGCATGTTGTAGAGAAACATACTAAATCTGAATTCTTTAATGTGGTCATGATAGAAACCAGGGGTCACAATGTCTGCAACACGAATATAATCCTTTTATTTACCTGAGCTAACATAGCTTGCTTGTTTGAAAAGTTTGGACTGTGCAGTAAGCTGTTAGCCAAAATAGATAAATGATGTTGGTATTTAAAATTATGATGGTGTCAAATTTATGTTCCACATTGACCTAAGAAACTGTCAAATAGGGTGTAGAGCTGTTCTCACAGTAGGTAGGATTCTTCAGCAGTAGCTTAGCATGCTACAGCTTCACTACACCACAGTCCAGGTTCATTCCAGATCACTGACGCTTCATTGACCCAAATTTGGAGGATAAAATTGAGGGAGCAAACATATGCTGTTGTGTGTTAGGTCATTAGCTTAGCTACTCTTGCTCCACTATCCTGGTTAGCACTAGAAGCTAGTCTGAGCTTAGTGAGAAAGCTAAAACAGCTTTCACACACCACCAGCAATTCACCAGCTCATTATTGCTGCACTGAGGCTTACAGGACAAAGACACAAATCTGAGCCTGTTCTGCAGTGTGTGGTTATTTGCCTGCTAAGCTAGCAATAGCATAAACAGCTGCACTGTACTCTCCACACACTGTTGAAAATTCAGCAATTGTTCAGTTTATGGTTCACCCACATTTGATGGGTGATGAACTGCAAATCTTGCTGGTTTATTTTCTAATAATTTGCGTTAGAGTTTTGTTTTTGCTCTGATCTGATCTAGGGGTGGAAATCTCTAGGCACCTCACGATCGATTTGTTTACGTATTCAGAGGCTGCGATGCGATTATAAAATGATTATCGTTGAATCTAGATGCATCTTTTTTTTCTATACAGGATTTCTTTTTTCTCAATGTGAGGACTTGGTACTTTTAAAGCAAAGTATTTGTAATGATGATGATGAATGAATTTACTTCCAATATCTTTTATTAAAAACACAAACAGAAGCGATGTGCCAAGTGAACTGGAGAACTGACACTCTTCTGCGATAAAATGCGCAGTTACGGTGACATAAGATTATATGGATGTCCATGCATCACGTTACAGCTCTTCTACCCGTTTTCTTCAGTGATTCCATAACTTTGTTTTGGTCTCGTTGTAGAGAGTCGGGGGGGTCACTGCGTCAGTAAAATATTTTCGAGACTGGACGCTGTATCTCGGCTCCAAAGTGTGCAACATAGCGCGAAAGCCCTGGTTCTCAACAACTGAGAACGGATGCAAATCATTGGCAGTAAAAGTTGTGATAGAGTTTGTAATTCGCTTCACCCTTTCCGAGATGGGTGGATGCTTTGACATCGCTTGCTTGATGGTCCTCTGATTGTAAATTTAAAACATTTAAAATGTGCTTATTTAATTATACAATTAATCTTACTGTTATTGTTGCTAAATACTCACATTACAAGAAAGCGATAGGCTAGCCTACATCTGTTCTGTTAGTTGAAATGAATTAACGTATAGTAGTGTACTAGGTTTTTTATGGATGATATTACTTTGTCAGGCAGATATGTGAAAAGTTAAGCTACCTGGTCTAACATTCCCATGCACAGCTCCAGTTGCTTAAATGAGCTTGTAAGTGAATTTCCAAGTGGGAATGCTAAGGATTGCAAGTCAAGTGCAAAGGGAAGGGTCAAGTCCACTTGTGCAGATTGTTTTCTAAAAGTTTTGAGATAATATAGGCTAATTTGTAGGTCATTTTAGAATATCATGATAATGCTAAAGAGGGCAAATTAAACTGCAGTATTTTCCAATGTTCAGTTTAGTTTCCCCTGACAGCAAAGTAGTCTAATTGATTCAAGACTTTGTAAGAGTTCAGCTATTAACTGAAATTCAGAAATGCAAATCATGCTGTCACATTGTAATTATGCTGGAAAATCTAAACAGAAGAAGCAAATAAAGAGGGCTAAACAGTGTTCTGGTTCAAGAATATGTAAACACAAACCTACAAGGAATTTATTCTTAATGGGTATTCAGCTGTGAGGCTGAGGCTGAAAGTGCTGGTGTTCTGCTACTTATCCTACCCATCAAACGGTCCTAATTTGCATGCACATATCATTAGTATAGCATGGTAACTTAAAGTAATACACAGTAATACAGTTAAAGTAACACAGTTAATTGTGTTTTTATTTTTAATTCAGTACAGACTTAGCCTTACATTACACCCTGATATGCTGATTTTGGAGATCAGAATATCCAAATTATTCTTTTAATGCTGGTGACATTTTCTATTAAGGGCATTTGCCTGCTTCTTGTTCAAATTTTCCTTTTCCACTTCAACTGCTGCATCATTTAAGGTGGAATGGGAAAATTCAAATAACAAGCTGGCGAATAAGAAGCTGACTCAGCTTTGTAGTTTTAATGCTGGAAGTATTTTTGAAAATGATATTTAGGCTATTAGAACATCCTGCTTAGATTTTTATGCATGGAGCTACCTATAAATATACAGTACGATAGGACATTTCAACAAGGTAGCACATTTCTCCACAACACCACTGACATGTCGTGATTTTACCAAGTAGGTAACACTGAAAGCTTCTGTTTACATTACCGACACGCTGTTAACAAGTTCCCCACGTCATGCACGAAGCTAAAAGTTACTGTAAAGTAACTATAAAGTGGTGGTGGATGGTGGTCGTAAAGATGACTCCTAAGATTTGAAGTGTAGCCCCCTTTCGCAGTGATTTTCTTAATGCATATTCTGCAGACAGGGTGACCATGTTCAATCAAAGTTTCTCTCTGCAATCCTATAAAAACCAAAATCTGATCACATTTCCAGAGTGCTGTCACTGATAACAGCCATGTAATCAACCATGGTTTCAATGATAATTAAAATTTGAAACAGGAATACTAGCTGTCAGGAATTTTACTGTGAAACTGGTAACAGTTTCATCACTACTCTGGAATACACTTTCTGGCAGTCTGTTGGATGAATCTAAGTTTGACAGATGCTGGGAGAACTGTACCTACTGGAATGCATAGTCCTAGCAGTAAGTTTGATGGAGGAGGGATGATGGTCTGGGGCTTTGTCAGGGTTTGAGCTAAGCCACTTAGTTCCATTGAAGTGTAATGTTAAATATTACAGCATACAAAGACATTTTAGGCAGTCATATGATTCCAACTTTGTGGCAACAGTTTGCGGAAGACACTTTCCTGTTCCAGCATGACTGTGCCCCTGTGCGTAAAGAGAGGTACAGAACGACATGATTTGATGGCTTTGGTGAGGACGAATTTCAGTGGCCTGCACAGAGCCCTGACTTCAACCCTTAACTCCACTGCACACCTTAAGGATGCATTGGGACTTCAAATGCGAGCCAGGCCTTCTCTTCCAACCTCTTCTGACCTTTCCAGAAGAGTGGAGGGCAGCTCCATTTTAATTACCATTGTTTTGGAAGGGATGTCCAACAAGCTCATATATCCATAATGTTCAGGTGTCCACATATGTTTGGCTATAAAGTGTATGTTTTGGGCCACGACTTTCTCAAAACTATTGTAAAACAATGTTTCAGGCATCAGGCAATGTATTCATAACCATTTCATGTAAAAATATCTGTGAGTGAGCTTTTGGAGGCATTAAACTCTTCAGACATCTTGTACCCATCACCACCACTAAGAATAATTCTGAAATGCTCTAGAAAGGAGCTTTCGGTATCAAACCACTCTGAATGACTTTGTTTACATGATAACTATTAATTCATTTAGTAATTTTGTAGACATTTCTAAAGCATCAATGTAGACATTCTGGAATAACTTTGATGTTTAATGTTTGAGTTTTTCTTTTGTGTGTGTGTGTGTGTGTGTCTGTGTGTGTGTGTGTGTGTGTGTGTGTGTGTGTGCGCGTGCGTGTGCGTGTGCTTGCAGGTATGGAATATTTGAGCGGTGTCGAGAGCTGGTGGAGGCGGGGTATGATGTCCGTCAGCCAGATAAAGAAAATGTCACACTGCTGCATTGGGCTGCCATCAACAACCGCATCGACCTGGTCAAGTCAGTCTGGCTGGCTGTCTGTCTGTCTTGTCTGTCCGCCTCTAATCGTATCACACACACACACACACACACCAGCAACATTCCCTATTAACATTTACACTCCAAAATTTATTTTAATAGGTTTTGTCAATTTGGGTTAAAGTCATTTTAAAAGATTTTAGTAGTTCAGTGTAAAAAAGATTTTGGTAATTCAGGTGAAAGCAGGGGTGTTCAGTCTTATCACAAGAGGCCAGTGTGCTTCAGGTTTTCATTACAAACAAAGCAGGAGCGCACAAGATCAACAGTTTGGTAGCCAAGACCATCTGATTAAACTGTTCTCCTTCTTAAGAGGAATGAAAACCAGCTTCACTGGCCCTTTGAGGATAAATAATAAAAAATTACTATGGTTTTAGTAATTTAGTTTATCTGTCTGTGTGTGTGTGTGTGTGTGTGTGTGTGCGTGTGCGCGCACAGATATTATATTTCAAAGGGTGCTGTCGTGGACCAACTCGGAGGAGACCTCAACTCAACACCTCTGCACTGGGCTACAAGGTCAGATATGTCCATATGTTTGTGTCATTGCGTTTGTGGTCAGTGAAGTATATTATGTGCTTCTGTTTTCAGTATTTTTTGTTTGTTTTTGGGTTTTTTTACGCCAAGTTTTTACAGACAAGTAGTTCTGCGAAGCTCGATCTCAAATAAAGACAGAGAATACAAAAAATACAATAAACACACATGTTAAATATACAAATTGAAAATATAAAATTCTGCAGTACTGTACAGATGAGTGTGTTTTCTTTTCTGCAGGCAGGGCCACCTCTCCATGGTGGTTCAGCTGATGAAGTACGGAGCCGATCCGTCTCTGATTGATGGAGAAGGCTGCAGCTGTGTGCATCTCGCTGCTCAGTTCGGACACACTTCCATCGTAGCTTACCTCATAGCTAAAGGACAGGTATGCACCTCCATCAGAACTTACTTTATAGCTAAAGGAAAGGTGCACACCTCTCTTAGACCTAATCTCCTAGCGAAAGGACAAGTATGCACCTCTATCAGGCATACCTCATACCTAAGGACAGATACGTACCTCTTTTAGACCTTATCTCATAGCTAAAGGACAAGTATGCACCTCCGTCAGGCCTTACCACATACTTTATGCACAGGTACACCTGCAGGCTGGCTTATAGTTGGTATCTGAGTAAAATCTCCTTATGCTCTTTCCCAACTAATGTAAGGCTCACTGTAAATACAAGCTTTTACTGCCTGCATGACTTTGTCAAGGCCTTTTTATTTATTTATTTATTTTTTGTCATTTCAGCTATATACAAGTACACAGTGAAACGAGTTGTAATGATAATTTAAAGCCACCAGGGGTCAGTGGGCTGTTCTCATTATCCTAGATCTGCCTTTGCATCACAGTTACTCCCATTAGCAACTCAGTTATCAAAGCACTGTCAACTCTGCGGCATTGTTTGGAATTCCTTACTACTATCTGTCCACCAGTGAGATGACTAGATTGGCATGTAGTCATAATGAAAGAAAGAGGTCAGCAGTCTTCCTGAGAGACCTTGTGAAAATTTCAATTTTTTTTCTGCTCCTTTACTCTATTTCTGTCTGTCATGCTGCAGGATGTTGATATGATGGATCAGAATGGCATGACTCCTCTCATGTGGGCAGCCTATCGGACACACAGGTATGTATTTATTTTGTTTTCATTTCACTCTCCTTGTGTTGATGTTAGTGTTTAAAGTTTAAGTGCATCTGTCTCTCTTTCTTTTTCTCTGTGCTGCAGTGTGGACCCCACTCGGTTGTTGTTGACGTTTAATGTGTCAGTGAATTTGGGGGATAAATACCATAAGAACACTGCGCTGCACTGGGCCGTTTTGGCGGGAAACACAACAGTGATCAGTCTGCTTCTGGAGTCCAACGCTAACGTAGATGCTCAGAATATAAAGGTCAGTCTGCTAAAGCTGTCAGTTTCATTTTTTTGGGCAGTTCAGATCCACTAACTAGTCATAATGTTTGAGTTTGCTATGCTGTAAACTATTACTGACCATTACAAAAGTACTGACCCATTATAATAATGCTCATCTTTTATTACTGCACCATTTACACTTTCGCACATTACTGACCCAATATTTTAGTCCTGACCCCACTCTTACAGTGCTGATCCCTTACACTGCTGACACATTATTACTGACACATTCTTATGGTGCTGACCACTTTTTATAGTATTAACTCTCTGTGGTGGTACTGACCCATTTTTGCAGTACTGATCCATTATTATACTACTGACCCATACTTACATTTCTGATCATTCTAATTCTTATAGTATGGACCCACTCTTATGTTGCTGACCCATTTTTAAAGTTCTGACCCATTCTTGATGCTTTATTATGTGTTAGGGGGAAACTCCGCTAGATCTGGCCAAACAGAGGAAAAATGTGTGGATGATTAATCACCTGCAGGAGGCACGACAGGCTAAAGGCTACGACAGCCCGTCTTACCTAAAAAGGCTCAAAATGGATAAGGTAAATTACCTTGTTAATGATAATACACCCAGTGTTCCAAAAATGCCTGGTGCATGGGTGCTCAAATGAAGACGAAAAAACAACATCATCAACCATTATGATGGAGTTAAAGGAAGTTATATATTTTTTGTAGTTGGGAACACAGAGCATAAGTAACAGTATTATAAGTAAGTAAATAAATACAAACTACACAGTAAACATATTTACAAATAAGTCACAAAACTTAAACCTCCAATGAGGCAGAATCCCACAGAACTGAAATAAACAACTAAATGCAAACCTGAAAAACAGCAAAGGATAGTCTACTGAAGGTTGTAATTCTATTCTATTTATTATGAAAATTTGGCAGACTCCCATGTGCTCAAGGTTGTGTAAGAATAAAAAGTAGAAAAAAAGACTGCAGAGGTTGTAACACTCCCTGAGTGCTGCTGGAGCTTTCACACTGTGCACACTCCCTGGCAACTTTACCAAAAACCCTTCCTTTGTAGTGCCACCTTGCTGGTGTAAGGAAAGAAAGAAGAGAGAGGAAGGAGGGAAGCAAAGAATAAAAGACAACAGAACTAAACAGAAAGAAAAACAAAAAGGAAGAACGGAAGAAAAGAACAAATGAAGGAAGAAAAAGAAAAGAGAAAAAAAGAAAGACTGATGAGCTATAAAATGGGAGATTCTGATAAACTGTACACTCTTTGGCACTTGTTTTTCTTTGGCATGAGCAAGTCTTAGTCTGTGTTGTTTCTGTATGTGTGTGTGCTTATGTGCAGGAGTTCCGTCAGAAGGTGATGTTGGGGACCCCGTTTGTGGTCATCTGGCTAGTGGGCTTCATTGCTGACCTGGACATCGACTCGTGGCTTATTAAGGGGCTGATGTATGCTGGAGTGTGGCTCGCAGTGCAGTTTCTTTCTAAGTACGATACCAGCATCTTTCAGTATTTAAGTTTATGATAAGATGGTTTAAACCTGTCATGTTTAACATTACCATGACATATTCAAGATGGATTAGTTGTACATGGGAAGGTGCTGTAATCTGAGTGATTACTGACATGATCCATGATTTTAAACCAGTACGAATCTGCCATGTTCATAGATTAAGTCTGTTAAGTAATAATTCTGAATTCTGAGTGAATTACCTTCTGTAATGTGTCAAACTCGAAGCTCCTTCAGTAATAATAGTCTTGTTTGAATCAACCTGTTATTATTGTGATTAAAACGTAGTAACAGACAATGAAACCTCTGATACCTCACTGAATTCAGCTTGGCACAGAAAAAATTGAAATATCTTGAAAGTGGGCCAGTTTACTAGCCTAATTCTAGTGACCTTAACTGGAAGTTAGCTTTTGTTGGTTGATTATTTGCTTTATTTGTTTAATTTCAGCCTTAATGCCTACGGGAAAGGCTGGGCTATGTTGTTTTGATCCAGGTTATCTGGTGATATTTGCGGAAGTTAAACTGATTCTTTATCCCTTACAAATCAGCCAGTCAAATAACTTCATAATTCCGTTGCAGCACCTTCCCAGCTAAAATGAATCCAGCTCGAATAGGGCTGGCAAGATAAAAGTGCAATAGTCAAAAGCAGTTTTCTATTGCCACCAATAATAGACATTATAACTGAGAAACACTGGTACAGAGCTACAAATCTCAAGTCTACATCAACAGTTCACTGAAAAATCGAATTCCTTTTACCCCAAATGTAGTCATGATCAGCCAAGACGTGTTTGATGTCTGAGCTTTTTTAGTTTTAGCACTGGAGCTATGAAGGTAATATTGCTAACAAGTAATGGAAGTCTGTGGTAACATTACTGTATGGTAACATTACTATATTGTTCTGTTAGCCTAGAAACTCCAAAATTAAATACTTAATTCACCAAATATGCCTGGGGCAGATTGACTACGTTTAGAGTAAGCAGGGGAGGGAAGACTGGGGGAATTAGAACTGTTGCTTGAAGTTTCAGATTGTAGTCAGTGAGTAACCTTAAACTCTCACCTAAATAACATTCATGTTTGCTCTCTCTGTCTCACTCTCTTTCCTGCTCTCTCTTGCCTGCTCTTGCTCTCTGTCTTTCTCTTTAGGTCTTTCTTTGACCACTCCATGCACAGTGCCCTGCCTCTTGGTATTTACCTGGCCACTAAGTTCTGGATGTATATCACCTGGTTCTACTGGTTCTGGAATGATATCTTTCTCATCAAATTTATACTACTGCACTCTCATATGTTTTAGTAAATTTTATCAATCCTCCAAAAGGAGTAGCTGTAGTCTGGGTTCTGTTAGGTGCTGTTTAAGGCTGAAGTTTGTGGACCTGCTGTGTCAAGTAATAGAACACACTCTGAAATATATATTATGTAGTAGGCCTCTGCCTGCTGACTTTTAATGAGGTGTTTTGAAATTGTGTTGTGGTCACTGCTTTAAAGGTAAATAGAGATGCAATCTGCCTCCTTAACTCCTCTCACATCTGCCGTTTGTCACCATCCACCTGCCCTTCCTGCTCAACAGCCTGGCTCTCTTCTACAACTTCGGGAAATCCTGGAAGTCTGACCCTGGCATCATCAAAGCATCTGAGGAGCAGAAGAAAAAGGTCAAAATGCTGAAGTTGATCTGCAGGCAGAAATAAAACTAAAGCTAGAGCTCTGAAAATGACCTCCCTTCAGCCCTGCTGCCCCAAATAGTGGTGGGAGGATGAGCGATTGTTCTTTACAGAAACAAAGTGTTATTTAATGGAGCTTATATCAGTAACTGATGAAGTAACTGATAACAGAGGCTGCCATGAATGAGTTCGTAAGACAAAGCTGGTGAAGTTCTGAACTGGGTTCAGTGAGAGTTGTGTAAACATGTCAGCGTTCCATTTTGTTGGAGCAGTGTCTTTAGTCAGGCCATTTCGAGCTCTCATTTATATGTTTATATGCACACTCTCCCTCTTTTTCTCATTCTAGACTATAGTAGAGTTGGCAGAAACAGGCAGTCTGGATCTGAGTATATTCTGCAGCACCTGTTTAGTAAGTACAGCTCTGTTTCTCTTTGAGACATTTTACTGTTTAAACTGTTGGTTCAACACTCTTTTGTTTTTGAAAGCACTTTCGCTGATAATCAAATTGCGTGGTTTACTGGTTAACATGGCCATTTAAATGAACATACCCTAATAAAACATAATGACTACAGGCATTAACACTGTCTGTGATGGACTCTCCTCAGATACGGAAGCCCATCAGGTCCAAACACTGTGCAGTGTGTAACAGGTGCATCGCCAAGTTCGATCACCACTGCCCATGGGTAGGCAACTGTGTAGGTGAGTTTCCTGTTCCTAAGCCCTAATTCCAGTCCGTAAACCTTTGAACCGTATACCTTAAGACTACTTTGCTGCAAAGTTTAGTTCCAGCCTGGATCTGTATGCTACCCCTCATTCATTACACTAACACAGCCAGTCAAGGATTTTGAAGATGTTAATTAGCTGTTGGTGGATTGTGATTGGAACTAGATTCTCCAAGAAGGTAGATCTTCAGGACCAGAACTGATTACTGCTACCCTAAGCTTTAACACATTATTCCAATCCCTAAACCCTAACCCTTAACTCCAATCATTTAAACTTAAAACTCTAACCCTAACTTCAGAAACATTCTTAGATCTGAGTTTTTGTTTTTGAATTTGATCTACAAATGTGATAGGTTTTTTGGCTCTTCTGATGGACTCTGATGGTCAGTTTTTGAAACTGTTATAATCATTCAATCTGAATGTAGTCCTGCAAGGGCAAGCTTTAGTGTACTGATGGGAAATACAGTAGAGGAGGAAATGACAGACAGATATAGAGGGAGTTTGGGGAGGGGTATGTAGGATGGAGCTTTAAAGGCCTTTTTTATCAGTTTGTTCTCTCAAAGCCTTAGTAGGAGAGTGAGCTGTAGACATAGCAGCAGCTCTTACAGACCTGAACTGTGGTAGTTTCATTGAGTAGGGATTTCTCATCTACATCATTTACAGTAAAAACGTGGCCCTGTCCAATAGGAGGACAGGGGTATTCGCATTAGATAATCACTTTCTGCTTAAATTGTCCAGTTAAATGAGAAATCCTATTTTACATCACACTCATATTAACGGCCAGCATTAGAGGTCTGCATAAGGCGGGTTCACCCGCGGGTCCTGCTTGATCTGCTAAATAATTTGCGTGCGGGATTCATTTTGAAGCACCACTCTCATTGCGAGGCAGCCAACAGGTTGCGGGCTTGTGCAGGCGGGTATTATTGCTGGCTGAGTGAGGCGGGCTTGGACAATTATTGGCTGCTTGTAGAAGCGAACAGAAAAGCAAACAAAGGAGCTGCAAGTGTGCTGCGGAGAAAAACAGATTCATAATCACAAGCAGCAAAACACATGATGCTAGAGAGAATCCAGTAAATATCTATGCACAAAATCAAACTGACTTTTTTGGGCTTTGTAACCTGTGCCTCGGGCTCTGTTTTGGCTTTAAATTAATTTTGGCTGACTTGTAGACACTGTATAGATTAATTAGCTAACAGAATAATGCTGACACAGCCTAAAAAAACACAATATATTTTCCTTTGCAACACTGAAACATGTGCTTGTGCTGCTGGGTTTGTGGGGGTGCAATGGGTCTGGAGGCTCTGGCGTGTCACAAGGTTTGTGTGGACATGTCCTACATCAGTGGAGCGGATTACAGCAAACACAGGCGGGAGTTGACGAGGACCACATGCATAGCCCAAAGAAGGTGGGTGTGAGAGGGCATGGCATGTGGTTGAAGCGGGCGGGGAGCAAGAATCACACTAGATTTAGTGGGTGGAGGCGGACATGATTAGTGGTTGAATCAGGCGGGTTCGGGTATTCATAATCAGGCCCATGCAGACCTCTACCTGGCATTTCTACAACACACACAATCACATCTTTAATTATCTAGTGGGAGTGGGAGTGTCCGGTCTTATCCACAGTAGGCCAGTGTGGCTGCAGGTTTTATTCCAGTCAAGCAGAGGCACCACTAATTCTAGTTTAATCAGTTGGTCTCAGTCCTCAATCAGTTGATCATCTGTGCTCATGCTTTGTTGAAGTGAAAACCTTCGACTTCGTTTAAGGCCGACACACCACTGTCGTGTGATATTTGTGCGATGTTCCTGCATGAGAGAGCTGAGGATCGGTGCACAAGGAGAGAAACAAAAGAGAGCCAAGAAAGCAAATGGCACTCTCTCATTTTTTTCATTTTTGCCACTGCAAGTAGCAATGTTTTAGCACTGTTTTTGTTGAGTGAATATTCAGCAAGGAAATATTTAATGTTGTAAATAAACAGAGCAGAAAAAATTGACTCACTATTCTCTCTCACTCTCTTTTCTCTCCTCTCTCTATCATCTGTGTGCAGGTAGTGGAAATCATCGGTATTTTATTGGTTATTTATTCTTCCTGCTGTGTATGATCTGCTGGATGATGTACGGCTGCATTTGCTGTGAGTTTTACACACACACACAGCTTCATAATGTGTGAGGTTTTTCAACATGTTTTACACAGAGCACAAGTTAAATTTGTGTCAGAGGATACAGAATCATTTTAAAGCATACATCAGCACTTACAGGGTTACAGTGTGTGTGACATTACAGTGTGCTCAGTGAGGCTCAGGAATTTACAGATAATTCAGAAGTTAACTGTAGTCAACGCTCACTTTAATCAGTGTACTGATAATTCAGAAGTTAAGTTGACCAGTTTAATTGGTGTACTGTGGTTAAGGGTAAGTTACGCACCATCTATAAGTTAACTGTAGTTACGCGCCATCTTCTGAGCACCACTGAGCAGATGGTTCTCCAGCTGTGCCAGCTGCAAACTGATGCCAAGCAGTCATCTCTTGACACCAGCATTTGATATAGCCAAGCTTACATATGCTTGAGTCACTCTGCAGACTTTCTCCTTCTCTTCTCACTTCTCGGACCAAGTAATTCATTAGCTCAGCTTTGACTTTGTGGGGGCATCAAAAACTTTTATTCGCTTTGGGCTGTTTCTTCACTGACCTTTTGGACTTCTGGAACATTGGGATCAAGCCACCGCCATCTGAGTCACTCCATCAGCAGCGCTGATCAACTCTTGTATGAACTGCATCATTATACTGCTGGCTTAATGGTAAGAGAGACTAGCAGGGCTGGAGGCTGAAAGTGACGCGATGCTGACCGGTTCTGCTGAGAGCAAGCTTGTAAGCTTGTAAGCTGCCCACCAATCGAGCGCTGCGGAACAAAACAAATCCAGGGCTGGGTCAGGCATGCTGCGGAAGGCGAAGTCCACCTGGGTTTGGCTGAGAAGGTGGATTCACTCTTCTTGAACATAGCCCAAATTAAGTCATTGTTAAGGACCTTAAGCAGCGAGATGGCCAACCAGGACAGCCGCACTGGAGCCCACAGGACTCAACATTCTCTCCATGGCAGCGTCACAGCTTTCCCTCTTGCTTCGGCCGAGGCTGAGGGCTCATTAAGAGGCTAAAGTGGTTTCCCCTGATGCAGTGCTGTACCCGAGCCCGCACTGCCCTAGCAACAAGTGCAGCCGCACATAATCATGTGAGAGCCCATAATCTTGGAAAGCAGTTAGGGATGCTGACTCATTTGTGGTGCCTTATGCTTCTCACCCTGCAGAGCATGCTGCAGAGGGCCTGGGACTGATGGGACCCATGGAAGAGCTCCTCAGCACAGCCTTTTAGATTGTGGGCTATTCATCTCAAACCACGGTTCCATTGGTAGCCACCTTTATACATGGTTGACAGCAGGTTTGGCTAGCACAAATATCTCTGACCCATACAGGGCCAAGCTTTGGATGCTTGTGACTGGCCATGTGTTTGGTCTGGCTGTTAAGTAGGCTCTAGATTGACAGTCATCCTTCAAACTGCAGAGTGCAAAAAGACATTTTGTTTTTGCCCTCCCAGTCCACAAACTGTTCACAGGAGGACAGACTTCCCCTCTGGCCCTCCCCAAACTCCCAAACTTAGCTATCTGAAGCCAGCAGCACATCCCTAGCTGTACAGTCCAATATGTGTCCAATGGTGAGACAGCCAAAGGCACCTGCTGTTAATGGGCTCCAGCTGGTGACGTAGCTCAGGTCATATTGGCTTATTCGAAGGACATCGCATCAAACCAATGGGTCATTCACACTGTCAGAAGGGTACAGGCTACAGTTTTGTCACCCTACTCAGTGCTTGGCCAAGGGTCACTGTTGTTCACAACCCAGCTCATATTCTTACACTCTCGCAGGAAGTCATTTCCCTCCTGGCCAGAGATGCCATAGAAGTTGTTACCCCTAACGTTCAATCAGAGGGGTGGAGGCTTTTGTCCAATTCTGGACCTTCACCAGATAAACAAATATTTGAAAGTTTCCTTTCCACGTGTTGCACATGCCAGCGGTTCTTGGCAGTATTAGAATGCAAAAACGGGTTCACATCAGTAGACTTGAAGGATGTGTAACACAGGTGGTTCCTTTGCTTTGCTTTCCAAAACATGGTATTCCAGTTCAGGGTTCTGTCTTTCTTTCCTTAGCCCCCACAGTCTTTACCAGGTGCATGTCAGAGTGCCTGTCAACCATGGCGCTAGAGTGTGTTCCTTTCTACTTTCGTTCGTGGCCCTACACAAGGACTCCTCTTTGGGCTCCCATAAGCTGGTGACCACCTTTCTGAAGGGGTTGAAGAGATTAAATCCGTCTCGATTACTTGGGCATCACCCTGGAACCTCCACTTGGTGCTGGATTTCCTCTGTCACACAGTCTTTGAACCTCTGGATTAGGCTGATGTTAAATGAATTTTCTTAAAGACAGCCCTTTTGCTTGCTGTTTCTATGGGTTAGCATGTCTGTGAGCTACAGGTGCTCTCTGTTAGCCCCATGTGTCTCCAGTGGGGCCTGGATGATGCGTGTTTTGTTGAGACGTAATGCAGCTTTCTTACCTAAAGTTCTCAATCATGGGTTCGTTAATCAGTCCGTTCCTTGCTAGCACCAGCGGTCAGAATCTATGAAACATAACACTAATTGTGATTATGTGAGTAGTGGTTGAACAGGTGTCACAAGGTGACTGGCTTACTTTCTCCGTCTGCAGCTGGCACAGCTAGAGAACCATCCACTCGGTAAGAACCGCCCTGGCGGTCATAATGTTAACAGTTGTTAACCCCCAGTTTAAAGTTAACTTTAGTTAACCCTCACTTTAATCTGTTTAATGTGGTTGAAGTTAACTGCAGTTAACCCCCAGTTCCAATAATACTATATGGTGAAAGTAAATTTTGTAATAAATGTAATAAAAATTCTGACACTGTTTCTTGTGTTTTTTCTTCAGACTGGCGTCTGCACTGTGCGAGCAGCTACAGCAGAGATGGATTGTGGGTATACATTACTCAGATTGCCACCTGCTCGCCTTGGATGTTCTGGATGTTTCTCAACAGTGTCTTCCACTTCCTGTGGGTGGCAGTGCTCATCATGTGCCAGCTCTACCAGGTCAGACAGTACACACCAGGCTTTTATCTGTGTGTGTGTGTGTGTATGTAACTCTGTCTGTAACTCTGTGTGTAACTGTGTATTTAACTTTAACTGTGTGTGTGTGTGTGTGTGTGTGTGTGTGTGTGTGTATATGTGTATGTGTGTGTGTGTAGATTGCTGGTCTGGGCATCACCACTAATGAGCGGATGAACGCAAGACGCTATAAACACTTCAAGGTCACAGCAACGTCCATTGAGAGTCCGTTCAAGTGGGTTTTCACATCTTACACACTTTACACAAATTATAAATGTATTTCTTCCACGTTATGCATTTTGAAGTTTACATACTTTTTTACTTTGCACATTTTAGAGTTTATACCCTATGCCTTTTCAGTTTATACATTTTACATGGTTTGATCTACACATTTGTCATATTTCAGAAAGTTTTTACAGTTTACATAGTTGTTTACACATTAACACCACAGCTTACACGGTTTACAAGTCACATTTTACAGTTTACACATTACTCATTTTAGAATGCATGTTTTAGTTTCCTGTTTATGTACTTCAAAAACATTTTCCTTTTATTATTTTTTACAATATTTTTACACATTCCATTTTACAGTTCACAGTTGACTCTTTAAAACAAGTTTAGTTTCCACTTTTTGTATGGTTTCCACATATTACAATTTGCACATAGTAGACTTTTCAGTTTGCAAAGATTACAAAGTTTACAGTGTATGTGTTACACATTTTACTTTTTGCATATTTTACATTGTATACATTGTACCGTTTGCACATTTATTACTTAATGAACTGTGCAAACTATAAATTACATTTTCTCAGGTAAATGTAATTTATATGGTTTACACATTAAAGTTTACATGCTACATGTCAGATTTTACACAAATTACACGTTTTGCAGTTCAACCATTTTAGGTTTTACACATTTTATGTGCTTTACAAAATTTACACACTCCACAGATTACAATTTACACATTTTAAAACCTTTACAGTTTTCACATTTTTACATTCTATAGTTTCACTGTTAAATAATTGGAAAAATGCTCTACAATTCAAATGCTCATTCATACTGTGTGTGTGTGTGTGTGTGTGTGTTTCAGCCATGGCTGTGTGCGGAACCTGATAGATTTCTTCGAGCTGCGGTGTTGTGGTCTTCTGCGGCCGGTGGTCGTAGACTGGACGGTCCAGTTTTCCATAGAATATGACCAAACGTCTGGTTCCGGATACCAGCTGGTTTAACATGGCCACAGAGCAAGCGAGAGAGAAAGAGAGAGAGAGAGGGGAGAGAGGATGAGCGTTCAGCACCACAGTGTGTGTGTGTGTGTGTGTGTGTGTGTGTGTGTGTGTGTGTGTGTCAGTCAGTCAGTCAGTGTGTGTGTGTCTGTGTGTGTTTGCAGGGGAGGGGCTTTACTGGGCCATCATCTTCAGCCAGAGAGACTGCAGTCCACACTCGTCATTAGCATTAGCATGATGCTAACACAGACTGCCACACACACACACTCTCAGCCCATCGTCCTCTTTCCAGCTGCTGCAGCCCTGGCTTACATACACAGGCACACAACTCCCCATGCGCACACCACACACACACTGCAGGTCTGTTATTTTCATTGTAAACATTTCATTTAATTTAATTTCATTTAGTTTTGTTTAACTTTCTGTCCTCCTGTGGAAGAATTTCACTTCTTTTGTTAATTCTGTTTTTTTTTTTAACCTCCGATCTGCTTACTCAGATTAAGCTGGAGGTCAGAGGGTGTGTGTGTGTGTGTGTGTGTGTGTTTGCTGCAGACACAGGTGTTTAATTGAACACAAAATGGAACAGAATGAGAGTCTGAATGAAATGAGTTTCTCTCCAGTTTAAAATGTGATTCTATTTATTTTAACATTTATTTAATATTTTCTAAAATTATCTTTTAACACCATGAGGTCCTTTTACATTTGTTTTCGTTTGAAAAGTCTGTGTATATGGGTGTGGGTGAGTTACCAGTGGTGTGTATGTATGTGCGTGCGCCCCTCTGGATTTTTACTAAACAGATAAAATTTCACCCAGAAAAGGAACTGAAGGACTAAATGACAAAACGGTTTCACTCATGCACTGGCCTACAGGAGAGGTTCCAAACACAGTTTTTCATTGTCACTCCATTAAACTTCTGGTTTTAATGACTTGAGCGCGTTTTTGTTTTTAGGAGTGATTTTTTTCCGTCAGCTGATGACACTGTTACTGAAGACTCTGTAGATTGAGACCCTTTATTCCGAGAGACGTTTTTATTTGTGTTTAGTATTTATGTTGTTGACTTTGGGTTAAGCCCCACCCCCTCTCCACCCCTCTCCTGCGGGATGCTCCGCAGTGTGAGCTGGACGAACTGAACTGATGTAAAGAATGTGTATCTGTACATAAACCTCCGTTTCTGTGAGTGATATATTTTTTTTGTCAGTGTTAGTTGAAGCTGCTCCTTAATGTTTTTGTTTTTTTTTGTTTGTTTGTTACCAAAAAGAGAAGAGTATAACCGCAGTGTATCTGACTGTAGCTGTTAGTGGTGTGTGCCACAGCTGTTTATAAGCATTTTAACCTGTGCATCTCCAGTGCATGAGCAAAGCTTGGGGCTGTTGCTATAGTAACCATGCCCTCACCCGCCTTCCTGCCAGCAGCCTGGCTGGCTGGGTGTCTGTAAATAGTGAATGTTCAGTATTTGCGAGTATGTTTTTTTTATTTTTTTAATTTCTTTTTTTTTATATTTTAAACCCAGTTTGTGTATCTTTAGTGTTCGTCTGATCTACAGAGCTTCATTCCGTCCGCTCTGTGGAAATGTGATATATTTGAATGTTTCATTAATATTAATAATGGGAGAGATTTTTTTTGGTTGTTTTGCTGGATCTGTTCTTCACTGGATCTAAAAGTGTAGAAAACTCTCTACCGAAGGTTTTAGAGATAGTAACGATGCGGAATCATGATATCTAAAAACAAAGAACGCCTGATCATGAATGCTGGGTGGATCTCAATCGTCCAGAGAGAATCTGCACTAAAGTGAAACAGAGTGATTAAAGAAACTCAAACTCATCACAAACGAAATCTTTCCTTTTGTCTCCTCTGCCTTTTCTCCAGTGTGTTTAAGCACATCTTCATCTGCAGTGCCTCAGTCAGGATTCACCCCAAACGCTTCAAAAACTTCCTGGGCATGGTTTCATTTTACTGGCTTTAATACAAAAATAAAACTTAAATCTACCAGCTGTGTGTTTCATTACCACTGTGTGTGTTTCTGCATCAAAAACGTTAAACACTATTTTTTTTTCAGAAACAACTCTTGACAGCTGTGGGTTTATTACATTTATTTATTTCCTAAGAACAGTAAATTTCCAGTTTAAACCCCAAAAGCTCCAGAACAGAAAAAGAATTGTGTAAAACAAACATTTCACAGAAAAAAGAAACATACAAGACCTGGAGTGTATGTGCGTGTGTTTATTACACTTAGTGAGCACCTTATAAAGCACAGCTATCTTGTATCTACATTCACTCATTGTCCATGTTATCAGCTCCACTTAACATATGTGCACTTTGTATTTCTGCAGACCGTAGTCCATGTTTTGCATACTTTCTTTGCCCCCTTTCACCCTCTTTCAACGGTCAGGACCACCATAGAGCAGGTATTATTTGGGTTGTGGATCATTTTCAGTGCTGTAGTGACACTGCCATGGTGGTGGCATGCTAGGGTATTTTGCACTAGTACAAGTGGATCAGACGCAGCAGAGCTGCTGGAGTTTTTAAACATTGGCCACACCATCAGACACTCCTACCTTGTTGGTTTACTTTGGGATAGTTGTGGACTGGAGGTTAGGGAACCAGCCTTGCGACCAGAAGGTCACCGGTTCAGTCCCCTGAGCTAACAAAACATGACTGAAGTGCCCCGTGACCAAGGCACCTAACTGCTCCCTGGGCGCTGTGGATAGGGCTGCCTACCGCTCTGGGCAAGTGTGCTCACAGCCCCCTAGTGTGCGTGTATTCATTAGTGTGTATGTAGGTGTTTCACTATGCAGAGGGGTTAAATGTGGAGGTGAATTTCCTTGTTGTGGGATTAATAAAGGGTAACTTTAGATGTAAAGTCGGAGACAATAGCTCATCTGTTGCTGCATTGTTGGCGTTGGTCATCCTGTAGTCCTTCATCAGTGGTCACAGGACGCTGTTGGCTGGATATTTTTGGTTGGTAGACTATTCTCAGTCCAGCAGTAACAATGGGGTGTTTAAAAACTCCAGCAGCTGTGACTGATCTACTCACGCCAGCACCATATCAATGTCACTGCAGTGCTGAGAACAATCCAGCACCCAAATGGTACCTGCTCTGTGGTGGTCTTGTATGGGTCCTTACCATTGATATATGGGGTAAAGGTGGGATAATAAACTACGCAAAGAAACTGTAATTGTACAAGGTGCACATATATGGTAAGTGGAGCTGATAAAATGGGGTTATGATTGTAGATACAAGGTAGGTGTTTCTAATTAAGTGTTCAGTGAGTGTGTGTATACACATATATATCACGCACATTTATAAAAATAATCATTGAGAGAGAGTGTGTGTCACTGAGCGTGCAGCAGCGTTCCAGCTCCCTGTCCGTATCCAAACCCTTTTGGTCCAAAGTTTTTAGCATAACACGCTGTGGGACAGAATTTAAGTAAACAGGAAATGAAAACATAAAAATGCAGAAATAAAAAACATCATTTACACATTTACAAGTATTCAACACCGTCTGCATGCTCTTATGGCCCCTTACCTTTGCAGTAAATTTCTCCTTCTTTCTCCGTCTGTGTGGTCGACTCCAGACCTTTTCCACATTTCGCGCAGCGGAAACAGATTTTGTGCCATGGCTGCAGAGAGAAACGAGACAAAATCAGAACCTTTCATATTTAAGATTAAAAATTATACAAATTATATGTGCGCAATATGGCCAAAAGTATGTGAACAACCCCTCTTAATTCTTGAGTCCAAGTGTTTCAGCCATATACATTGCTAATAGGTATATGACAGTGGTTCCCAATCCTGGTCCTGGAGTACTCCCTGCCCTGCACTTTTTAGTGTTTTTCCTTTTCCAAAAATCCTGATTCATTTTCTCAGCTATTTTTTTTAGCTGAAGTGGGTGTGTTCGAGCACATATCAATATTTCCGCAGATAAACATTGGCAGTAGAAAGGGCCTTGCTGAAGAGTGCAGTGACTTTAAATAGGGCACCATCATAAGACACAACCATTGCCAAATGTCTGCCCTGGTCAACTGTAAGTGCTATTGGAAGTGGAATTGGAAATGGAAGTGAATTTCCATGGCTGAGCAGCTGCACTCAAGAGTAAGGTCACTATGCGCAATGCCAAGCATTGGCTGGAGTGGTGTAAAGCACGCCAGCGCGGGACACGTTCTTCGGACTAATGGATCTAGCTTCACCATCTGGCAGTCTGATAGATGAATCTGGGTTTGGCAGATTCCAGGAGAACGCTATCTACCAGAATGCACAGTGCCAAAAGTAAAGTTTGGTGGAGGAGGAATAATGATCTGGGCTGTTTTTCAGGTTTTGGGCTTGGCCCCTTACTTCCAGTGAAGAATCATGCCCAGAGTATAAAACACCCCTGGTATTCTGGGAGGGTGGGGGTAGAGGTCCCATGTCAGCTGGCTATGGTGCTAACTTACTGACCATAGCGGCGCTATGAAGGTGTTATAGCTGCAAAGGGGAGCGGGGGGGTCAACGCAATATTAATGCCCCTGGTTTTGGAATGGGATATCAAATAAGCTCATGTAGATGTGATTGCCAGGTGTCCACATACTTTTGGCCATATAATGTAGAACTGTTAGTTTTGGCATTAATATTTCTACCATTTCCAACTCTCTTCATTTAAGCGCTCTGCATTATTATTATTAATATTTTTACTCAACATGTTCATCAGATTTTTTTTCATTAATTCACACCTTTCCTGCTCCTATAATTTTCTCCGCAGCATACACACTTTCTCCACAGCGTGCACATTTCTCAGACCCTCCATACTTCTGGGCGAATTTGGAGGAGTTTGGGTTAGTGGTGGGTTGGTGGGTCTTCCTCCTGCAGGAAATTCAAGGTAATTTAAATTACAGACAGAACTATAGAGGTCACTTCAATTCATGTCAGTCTCTGGTCACAGTGCTAGGTCCAGCGCAGCCTCGGCTGTCCAGCCGATGTGAAAGAGTGTCTTTGTTTTAGAGGATCAGGTCAGCTGATCTGTTCTGCAGACTGATTATGTAACATACTCCTATTACACACTCTTTCATAAGAACTGGGCTGGAGCTGAAGCTGGTCAACTGAAGCAATGGCTGGAATGAAGCTTCTGTCCAGAACCAAAAGAATCTAAAAGAATCAAAATCTGTTTACTCCTCTGGCTTGATGCCAAGTCTCTCTCCACGGTCCATGTTGAGTGTTCCAGCTCCTTGACCATAGCCGTAACCTTTTGGCCCATATTTCTTCCCATAGCAGGATTTACAGTAGAGCTCTGTATCGTGGATGGCCACTGTGGTGCTGTCTAATCCTTTTCTACACACCACTGCAAAACAGCAGACAGCCCAACAATATCAGCATATTTACTGTACAATGTAACTGTACAGAATCTTAACTGTACAGTACAACTGTAAAAAATATGTAAGAGTATGTTAACTGTACAGAATATTAGCAGTACAGTAAAACTACAGAATATTAACTATAGCCTTCAAGATACAGAATATTAACTATACAGTATAATCATAAACTTTTACCTGTACAGTAAAACAGCACTGTAGCCTCAAGGATAACTATATATAATATTAGCTGTAAAGTAAAACTAAAGAATATTAACTCTAAAGTAAAACTGTAGAGAATATTAACTGTAAATAAAACTGTAGAGAATATTAACTGTAAATAAAACTGTAGAGAATATTAACTGTAAAGTAAAACTAGAGAGAATATTAACTGTAAATTACAGAATATTAACTGTAAAGTAAAACTGTAAAAAATGTTAACTGTACAGGACAACAGCACAGAATACCTGTACCTGTAACTGCAGCCTACAGTAAAACAGTACAGAACACTAACTACACAGTAAAATGGAACAATACTCACTGTTGCCCTCTAAAGTGGTCATTAATAAGCATCAAATAAACAAACTTTACTCACTGTTGCCCTCTAAAGTGGTCATTAACTGGCATCAAATAAACAAACAAACTTCACTCACTGCTGCCCTCTAAAGGTGTTATTAACACAGCGAAACTGTATAGAACTAGAATATCAACTGCACATTAAAACGGCATAGAACGTTAACTGTGCAGTAAAGCTGTAGAGAGCGTTACCTGTACAGCCAGCAGTGGAACAGTTTCAGTAGTTTCAAATGTTCTATATCAGAAACAACAGTAAACTCATGTATTTAGTTTAGTTAATGTCAGACTGATCAGAGATTTTCAGCCCCACAAACACACCTGATCAGCTCATCAGCTGATTGCTGAGCCCTCTGTGAGCTGCTCAGGTGTGTTAATAGGGTTAGTCAACACTGGGCGGGGAAGCTGAGAGTGCGTAGAACTGGAGTTTAGAGGTAAAATTATCTTCAGACAGCAGATTCAGACGCACCAACTGCAGCTTTGTCCCATAATTGTCCCAAACAATAACAAACAAGCAAACAAACAAACATTAGCAGTGAGGGGATGAGTCTCAGCTCAACAGGAAAAACAAAACATCTCTCCTCTTATTCTGTTTAAACACGTTCAGATTATCAACGTCAGTTATGAGTCACTACCAACTGACCATGAGATGACCACAGCTGATTTCCACAACAATGAACATTTCTGTGGTGGCCAAGACGGGGACCAAGGAGGAATAAGAACCATAATAATAATAATAATAATAACCTTTTTTCACTAATTCATCACTTTATTATCTCCTCTTTTCAGACACAGCTGATTTACTGTTTTCTGTAAATAAAGTCATAATATAGCCTTGTGCTGACAGAAGAGCTGCTCCATGAAAAAAATTCAGAGCTTTAACCAAAGAACAAACACACTGTCAAAGCGTACACACTGTTAATAAACATCTTTATTCTCTATCACACTGTTTTGTGAAGGGGTGTGTGTGTGTGTGTGTGTGTGTGTGTGTGTGTCTGTGTGTTCTTACTGCACAGAAAGCAGCTCCTGTGGAAGTTTTTTCCATCACACTGAACTTCCTCGGCATGATACACAGTTCCTCCACATGACACACACCTGTTGCCTCCGCCCCAATGTGGCATGATGAAGACTAGTAAGAGGGAGAGGAGGAAGAGAAAGAGGATAAATAGGAGGAAGAATAGAAAGAGGAAGTGAAGGTGAGTAGGAGGAATAGGAGAAAGAAGAGGAGGAAGAGATGAAAAAGGACAAAAAGAAAGAGGAGAAAGAATTAGAAAGGGGATGAAGCGTAAAAGAAATAGGAGGAAGAGGAGAAAAAAGTGAAGGGGAAGAGGAATAGAGTAGGAGGAAGAGGAAGTGGAGGAGAAAGAAGAAAAAGGAGAAAGAGGAAAAAGAAGGAGAAAGAGGGGAAAATGGAAGGGAAAGCAGAGGAGAAACAGGTAGAATAGGAGTAAAAAGAGGTGGAAGAGGAGGGGAGAGAGAAAGATTATTGTTATTATTATTGTTATTCTCAGTGTTTTTTGCTACAGAAACAATTACTTTCTCATTTTTTTGAAGTTGTTTGTCCCTCAGACGTCCGGAGTCAGGGTCAACCCTGGAATGTGTTTGATCTGCCTGGACATGTCCAGAAAAGGTGAGGGCTGGTTGTTTGTGCTAATCTAAGGTCAGCTCAGTCTTGCAGTTCTTTCCTGCTTCCCTGCAGCAGTAGAATAAAGAAGGCGAACAAAAGCAGAGTGCAGTGCAGTGTGGAGGCGCGTGATGTTGAACAGCAGCATTATTCAGACTTCAGAACACACTGTTCTGGACAGAGCAGCTAAAACAGGGAGCTGGTCAGGCCAGTCTCATCAGAAACAGTTCACATGACAGCCCTGCATCTAAGGTCATCTGCATTTTAGAACAAATAAAAAAAAAATTAATGTGATTTAATCAATATATATATATATAATTTATACCATTATAGAAAAAAATCATTTATGCATTTCAGGAAATTGTCTTGATGTTTTCACTTTTATGTTTGTCAGTGACCCATGTGTATTAAATCTGACCGGACAAATGGTTACCTTACTAACCTATTGACCCTAAGCTTAAAATCTTCCAAACCATGTATTCAAGAGGATTCATAATTAGTAACATAGTCCAAAAACCAAAGTCCTCTTCAGGTCTGCTTTCTGACCCCTCCACAGACATAATGATCTACGAGGAGTGCCTTTACTCTGTGGTCACTCATGGTCATTTATTTCAGGCAAAGTGTAAAAAAAATCCTGTTTTGTTTTTGTTTGGGTCAGATGAAGCCCCTCTGAGGTAATTAAAGCCTCGTGAGCAGGTCAGACGCAGACAGTCTGGCTGGTGAAGAATAACTGACTGTTTTCTAAGAGTAATAAAGGCTCGAGCGCGTCGCCAGATAAAGAGCAGTCAAATCAGAATGACCACTTTATCTGCAGCTTCATTTTCCTCTCAAATATTTACAGCTCTTCACAGGCTTTGTGCTAAAAACCAAACACCGATAACAAACGTGGCTCTTTTCAGCCTCTGGAAGTTGAACTGAATGTTCAACCAACGTCTGTAAATGAACCTGAAAGTTTTATTCGAAACCAGGCTCGTTGTAATAGTCTGCTCATCGTGTGAGGATAAATAATCTGCCTAATAATCTTCATTTAACAAACGGTCAAACCAGAGAGGCGTTCAAATCAAGAAATTCGTCCGATAGTAAGTTACCTTTGCCCCCAAAACGTCCACCAGATAAAGGAATGTGTCCTCTCTCTCTCTCCTGCAGCAGATTCAGTGCAGATGGAGGCGGTTTACTCTTCTCTGAATGTCTGTCGCGCCTAAAAAAGTAAACGTTTGTATTTTTGTATTCTGACTGACGTTCGGCTTTCAGCCACGAACCTTCTGAGGTCGACCAGTCGCTTCTGGAGAGAGTTTGGGAGGCACAGACAAGAGAGAAAGAGAGGGAGGAGAGAGGGAGGAGAGAAAGGGGAGGGGTTTCTGCCAGGAGGGGCGGGGCCATATTATAGCTCATCGTCTACGTCGCAAACCTGCGTCTGTATAATTAAAGAGTTTATATGAATTTAAATGTAGGATAATTTGAGTAATGGACGCATTTGGATTTGGAATTAGACAAAAAAAAGACAAAATATCTTCATATCAGATGAATTTTTGTTTATTTAGTTATTTAGTTTATTTTTGTTTAAATTATCTTTTTTTTATCAAATTTGGGTTTTAAAGGGGGCCTATTATGCTTTTTTGGTTTTCCCCTTTCCTTTAATTTGACAACATATCACAGACATGGTCTTGAAAATGTGCTGTGTTTAGCATTAAGCAGCCAGTTCATGCGCCAGTGCTGAGCTTGTGTTTGGATGCCAGTTAAAGGCCTAACTTTTGCTGAGAGAGCTGTGAATACAGGTGTGTATCAAGTGTGTGGGCCTTTGAAACTGAGGATTCTACAACGTAAAACAGAGACCAGGGCAATGTAAATTTGGTGTGTGTAGTCTGTAGTCTTTGGTATGCTGTTATATCCTTAAAATCACTTATCTTTATTTATGAGCACACAGAGAAGCGCACTCAGAGAAAAGTGAATACATAATTGCATAACAGCATAAAACATATTTAAAGTAGGTTTTGTTATGTTTGTTCAATCTGTTATGTATTATTACTGACCTCTAGACCCTGCATCAAGGAGCCCTTTGTCATAACACAGGGGTGCCCACTCTTGATCCTGGAGATGTACCACTTTGGAGAGTTTAGATCTAACACATCTGGCTCTAATATTTAGTTGGCCCTGAAATTCTTCGTCACCTGGATCAGGTGTGTTAGATTAGGGTTGGAGCTGAGCTCTGCTGGGTGGTAGATCACCAGGACTGGGTGGTAGATCACCAGCTGGGTTCTCCTATTCTAATGCATATGCCACAGGTCACAGTTTAGGACTGATGGAAAGAAAGTAGCCAAACAACATCCAAAAACAGAAAGTACACTCTACAAGAGCTGAACTCAGTAATAAACATTCAAAGACCTTAATTTTCTGACTCCATCTAGTGGACCAGTAAATGTACTGTATGTGAATTTCATCGCCACAGGAAAAGTCAAGATTTTCTAGAGAGCAATTTGGCCTATGAAGATGCTCAAGAGCTCATTGAACATTTTTCAGGTTTAGGTGAGTGGATTGTGCAGATTTTCACCGTAGAATTATAGAAAAAGTCACCGAAGGCAAATCGGATTTGTTTCTCAAATCAAATCTTTTGAAAGTCCGTCCACACTATTATTCACAAGTGATCAGATCAGATTTGTGTGTCTGGACATCACTAGCCTGTCTACATGGGTTGCTGTGGTAACAACGTAGGCGTCAGTAACCACCTAGCTTCGCTGGTGCTGGATTTGACATCTTCATTGTTTGTCACATTGCAAGTGACGCAAAACATACATAGAAATCCGAAATTGAAATTGAGTGGCCAGAGCGTCCAGACGAAGACGCATCCATAAAAATCTGATTAAAGTTGCATTTCAAACCGCCTCCAAGTGTAGTTGGGATCCGATTTGCAAAAATCGGATTTCATGTATTTTTTTGCTGTCCAGGCTATCAAAAATCAATGTGGATACAATCTGGATATGCCAAAAATTGGATTTGGGCTGGCAGTCTGAACATAGCCTATATCCACCCAAAACAAAATGTTAAATGTCATTACAGACACTTTTAGATGTGAAATGAATTTATGTTTTTTTTCATCAACAAAATGAAATTGCATGTTATGTGCAAAACTGTCCCCTAAACCCAGACTAGCCACCAGGTAGGTAAATATTTTCATTACATACAAAATGTAATTGTGTGAAGTGTTTTTTATATTACGAATAGTGCCCCCTAACAGACAGGAACACAAGAAGTGTGCATATTTAGGGTTATCAGTATAACAATAATGGTTTTCTTACAAAATGAAGAATTGTTTGTAATATGTGATTTATTTTTCTATTATCTAATTCTTAAAAGGCTGAATATATAAATAATGTATTTATCATTTAAGAATTCAAAGGCATAATTCACTCTAAATGAGTATTTTTTTTATTTAAGAATTGTAGTCAAAAATATTAGAATTATGTATTTCAAGGTCAAAGATTTAGAAAATTGGTCATTTTTTTGAGCCAGTGCTTGTGCTGTTAATATGTAAAGAGGTCTGATATGATCTGACACCTCTGACTTTTAAAGAACTGTTATCAGGCTATACAGGGCGACTTTACAGCAGCACATTGTCCAGCTTTATGTTAAATATTTACCACTCAATATATTTTTGATAAAAATATTGAATGGTTTGTAAGAATATTTATTATTGCCTGCAGGTCCTCAAGTCCATTGTCTGCCATGTTACAGTGTGATTATCCACATTTTTTTTTAAATTTAAGACTCTATTTCCAGTACCAAAGTACAGAGGTTTGGTATTGGAGGTAGCTTTATAGCAGGTGTGGGGAACTGAGGGCCAAAGGCCAGTTCAGTTTGGTGATTTCCCAGCTCTAACATACCAACTAAACCTGGTAATTAGCTGATGAGTTGAATCAAGTGTGCTTGAGCAGGAAAATTAAATTGTGCAGGAATCTGGCCCTCCAAGACTGTAGTTTCCCACCCCTGTTTTAAAGCCTGGATTAAACTTTAGTATAAAGACCCACACATACAATTCTGACCTCTCATGTTCACTTACATAGAGGCATGCAACAGGGCTGCTCTGTTTGATCCCTCCTGTTTGCTTTAGACATAGAGCCATTATCTGTTCTGGTGAGACAATACATGGTTTCCAGTCCAGAACTACCTCGACCAAAATAAAACTGTATGTAGATGTCATAAATTTATATGTAACTAAACCTCACATAAGCATTTGTGTAGTTGTAGCTAAAATAGGAACTTTTTTGCACTGTTTCAGGTTATAAGAGCGAATTGATGCATTTAGGACCCAGATTTCATTTTCCCTTTAGGATTCTCCTTGGAATTAAGTGATCTATAGTAACTATAAGTGATCTCTACATACATAGGATCTTTGCCACCTTTGCCAAGACAATATATATAAATATGGAAGCCATATGAGCAAAGGCATAGCAAACTTTTCGTACATTGCATGTTTCCTTGTTTGAACTCATGACTAGCAACCAGAAATGACACCCTTATAAGATGAATAGCATTTTTTAAAGGTAGTAGTTACTTTGGACTGATTGAATGGCGACCGAGCCAATCACAATTAAGCAGTGTGAGATGAACCAGACCGATTGTATTACAATGTCAGTGGGAGTTCAAGAAAGTGGACTGAATTGGAGAGCAGATTTAGCTTGACAAAAAAGGTAGGAACATGTAAAATTTGACTGTGTTCTGGTATAAAAATCATGCAGCAATTCAGATGTGGGCAATACGGCAAAATGTAAAATCACGATACTTCAGTAAGTTTTTTACGATACACAGTGTGTCACAATATTTATTTTTTCTGACATCTGATAAGTTGGAACAAAGTAGTGCCACAGTTTAAAAATACAATCAAAAACTATGAATCCAATTACTTGTATTCAACATTTCACAAACTGTGTTACACAAAATTCAATAAAACAGGACTAATTATGCTTTCTTTTTAATGAAACAAGCAGCTGGGAAATTATTTTTAAGTACTGATTATACCCACAATATACTAAGAAAAGCCTATTGTGACATTTTGCGATGTAATTTATCACAGTGACGATAAATATTGTCATGTTGCCCAGTCCTATAACAAATACTGTTGAGTCAGAAAAAAACTTGCAAATGGCTTGCTATTATAGCAGTCATCAGCTAGTGGATATACTGTTGGCTAACATACCTGTTCACTCAGAGATGTTTCAGCTTCTAATTTTGGGACCGTCACCTTAGGTTTGTGTTCTTCGAGCACATAGCGTGACTAGCTAGCTACATAGCTAAAAAGTTTGAAAGGTTCTTTTTTGGACTACCACAATATGTTTGTGAACTGCTTAACTGTAACTTTTGTGGTAGGATGTGTTTGTATGTCCTATATACAGTCCAGCAGCAAAGCAGCAAGCATTTTTAAAGAAAAGTGCCCTGAACTGTGCCCTATTTCATCAGGTAGGTGCCCTATTTCAACACTAATCATGACACAAGAACAGCTTAATGTTGCTGTGTATGGCTGAGCCTACTTTAGTCCATAGCAGGATCAGAATCAGAAGCTTTGTCAAATACCAGATGTACATGGAATTCCTCTTGGTGCAGTAGTCAAAATTATATATATACACCGATCATGCATAACATTACGACTGTCTCCTTGTTTCTACGCTCTTTATCCATTTTATCAGCTCCACTTACTATATAGGTGCACTTTGTAGTTCTACAGTTACAGACTGTAGTCCATCTGTTTCTCTGCATACTTTGTTAGCCCCCTTTTACCCTGTTCTTCAGTGGTCAGGACCCCCATGGACCCTCACAGAGCAGATACTATTTGGGTGGTGGATCATTCTCAGCACTGCAGTAACACTGATGTGATGGTGGTGTGTTAGTGTGTGTTGTGCTGGTCTGAGTGGATCAGACACAGCAGTGCTTCTGGAGTTTTTAAACACCTCCGTGTCACTGCTGGACTGAGAATAGTCCATTAACCAAAATATCACCAACAGCATCCTGTGGGTAGCATCCTGTGACCACTGATGAAGGACTAGAGGATGACCAACACAAACTGTGCAGCAGCAGATGAGCTATCGTCTCTGACTTTACATCTACAAGGTGGACTGACAAGGTAGGAGTGTCTAATAGAGTGGACAGTGAGTGGACACCGTGTTTAAAAAACTGGACAGACTACAGTCTGTAATTGTAGAACTACAAAGTGCACCAATTTGTCCTTTCAACAAAAATGAAACCACCTTGGGAGCCACAACATTTTATATCTGTTTTACCATCTTGGCTGTAAATAAGTCTCAGTATGTGCTAAAAATATAATATAAATGAAAACGCAGACTTAACCTTTACGTCATCTGTAACCGCTTTTCTTGCACCTCAGTCAGGAAACTTTCCCAAAATTTGGAGCTCGCTACAATTGAGCTACTTTTCCCAAAAAAGTAGTGGCTATTTTTTATCTACTTTTTGAAAAGTAGTGGCTACTTTTTAGCTACTTTCAAAGCGTAATTATCAGAATGTTTGTGAATCTCCACCTGACACACCAAACAAGCCCAGCTGACAGTGTGAACAAGACAGTGCATTTAATCATGTGCCAGAAACAAACATACAGTTGAAAAGCTGCAAATATACAAAAAGATTTTAAAATTTAACAAACAATCAAACTTACACAACCAAAGGCGTGATATCCAACAAAAGCTTAGACTAAGTAAAGACAAAGTCAATCATTCCAGGTTTTTCCTAACAAAAATCAACAAAAATAACCGAATACAAACCAAACAATTTTGTGCAAAGCACTGTCAACTGTTCAACTGTTGAAATAAAACTGCTCCAATTAAAACATTTCAGCAAGATGTGCAGACATGACATTCAGAGTCCTTTAAACTTCAGCAACACTTTAGCCTCAAAATCCTCATCAGTGACGCTGGCTCTGTTTGGGGTGAGAATCAGGCCTGAATAATCTCTCCACTGCTGCAGAGCTGCTGCGGCTCCACAGCAGAATTAGATATTTTTAGGTATAATAACATAATACTGTAAAATCGTTATAACACACAGTTCTAACACAGTTTTCACAATAAATGGTCTTAAACGTTGGAGCTAACGCGTAACTGCTAATTCACCAGCCTTTAATGCGGAAGACTGACGCGCAGACTGCTGGTCACACAGCAACGCAGATAACAAAAAGGCAAAGAGAAAGACGAACATCGATCATCTGGAGATGAATGGACTTATTTGCATTTATAACCACAGTTTCCTGATACGTTTAATCTGAAACAATTCGCGAAGCTGCTGTCAGCTTCTCATTCGCCAGCTTCTTGTTTGAAGTCTCCCATTCCATCTTAAATGGTGCAGCTATACAATCTGGCGCCTCAGGCACCATTTAAGGTGGAATGGAACAATTCGAACGAGAAGCTGGCGAATGAGAAGTGACTTCAGCCTCGCAAAAAGTCAAACATTGAGAGACATTTTACAAGAAACTCGCAGAAAAGTTTCCTGACTCAGGTGCGAGAAAAGTGGCTACAGCTGACGTAAAGCTTGTGGCTCCCAAGGTGGTTTTATTTTTGTTAAAAGGACAAAATGGCTCTTCTTTCATTTCGGTTGCCAACCCCTGAGCTAAGCCTGCTAGTAAGGGGTGATCAGTGCATGGGACCCACGCATGCCCATTTGTTCGAATTGTCCGCTGCTCAGTCAGGATTGCACAGTCGCCACCAGCCCAGTTAACGACTGTGTTCTATGTTTCACATTTTGCATGGATTGCCTGAAGCCTGTAGCGAAATTATTGCTATAGCTACACAAAAAGTTGTAGGTGCTACAGCTATTAGCTACATTTAATAAAACTGTAGCGGCTACAGCTATTAGCTACAAAAATGTGTAGTTAACTACAAAAAGTAGTGCGCTACTTAGCTACTCCCCCATCCCTGATATACAGTCATCTCTCGCCACGTTATAAATAAGACTGGCGGTGGTAATTTGGTGACCAAAAAGTACTTTTGAAGTAAAGGTTTTTGCATTAAACAGTGCTATGTTATCATATGTCTGTCTTATATGACACAAAGTAAAAAAAACAAAAATGAAATGACCACTATATACAGTGATGGGCAACCGAACGTTCTCCTCATTCAGCGGTCCATGGTTGCTTGGCAATGATACCATACTCTAAAGGAACTACATTTCTTGGTGGAATACCTGTTTATGTCGGTTATTATTAATAATAACTTAAATTGATTAATAATAACTTAAAGTGTATTTTGTCATATTTTATGTTGACTGCTGTTTTATAAAAGCAATAAGAAACTTGAGGCTGTGCATTACTGCAATTTTTATTAAAGGGAAGGAAGTTTTAGGCACTTCTCTCAACAATGCTTTAAGTGTCCAACTGTGTACCTTAGATATGTTTTTCCTAGAGGAAAGGTGCATATTTGTACCTTTTCATAACCTAATGCTTTAAAATAGGAGAATGAAATTAAAAGCCTGTGTGGGTGTGTGGAGCCAATACAACAAACAAATATAACTGCAATGGATTCACTAACTAAAGGTACTGAAGACATACCCTTGAGGGTACCACCCCTGTGACAAGACAGTTTAGTACCTTTTTTTCTGAGAGTGTATGTACAGTTTGTACAGATAAAGATGTGAGCAGTGAATATCTATGTAAACATATATTTATGTAATATGTACATTTGCAATTAGTTAAAGTGCATGTGTGCACTCAGTAGATGGAAGGTCCTTATTCAGAAGGATTATGGCATGGTATATAAAGAATACAGTCATTATAATGCACATTATAATGTGTGTTATAACATGTATGAGGACGGAAGCTGTGGAGGATGATGGAGAGACGTCTCTCTACACGTCGCACGGTTCACTGTAGCTTTGGCTGACGGACACGGAGGATGTGATGATGGATTCTATTAGGGTGGTGTAGAGCTGGACCAGCAGCACTTAAGGCAGCCCAAATTTCTTGAGCTGTCTCAAAAAATACAGGTGCTGCTGGGCCTTCTTCACAACTGCTGTGCAGTGTTTATCCCATTTGAGATCCTGCTGGATGGTGGTGCCCAGGAATTTGTAAGCTCCACACCATGACACTAGATGTCTTACTTCCTCCCAGTAGGTGGATTCATCGCTGTTTGAGACTGATCACAGCAGCGTCATTCACAAACCTAAAATATTTAACAGTTTTTCTTAATAGATTCATGGCTTTTTAGAAAATACAGCTTTTTTCCCACTTCATAGTGACAAAAAATGACACATACTGAAGAAAGTAGTAAAAATTAGGATATACATTCACTGGTTACTTTAGTAGGTACATGTACTGTTCATCTGCACTCATTGTCCATTTAATCAAGTCCATTAACCATATAGGAGCAAGTTTCTCCAGTCCTTCATTCAGGTTTTTCTTTTACTTTGTCACCCATCCACCCAGCTTTTCATCCAATTTCTAAATTTCACTGGGCTACCAAGCCCAGTACAGGCCCCTAGTGGTCAAAAGAATAAAAACCTGTGTAACATGTAAAACTTAGTAAAACTGACAGTGCTGCTTAACTCTCTTTTTGCTGTGAGCAAAGGCCAGTAATAAACATTATAAGAGAAGAAGGGTATAATTTTTTATTTTAGTCTAGTCGTGATCCTCAAACCGTAATATGGGCTGCAAGATTTGTACATTTTAAAGGTACAGTGACACCAATATGATGCCAGTACTACAAACTTCACAGGTTTCAAATAATAGTCAATGAATAATAAATATATTTTTAAAAATGCATATGATTCTAAAATAATTTAGAAAACTGTATAAAATCAAGAATAAGGTGATAAAAAATGGAATCTCCAGAATGTCTACTTTTTGACATAATTTGTTCTTTAACAGTAATTCTAGAAGGTATATTACTTATTGTGAAATATTTTTTGTTGTTCCCAAAGCTAAATAACTATGCACAGAAGGATTACACACGATTAAAGGCAATCCGCTGATTGGTACGTTGGCAGATCTGACGTCACCTTCGCCAAATTTAGTCCCGCCCAACTCAAATCGAACAGAAGAAAACGGAAGAACAATTAATGTAAAAATTCTCAAATAAAAAAGGGACCAATACCATTTTTTCTAATGAAGGCATCACAAAACCTACAGATAATGACAAGAAGAAAATAATGAAAATTAGTAGACAGGGGCTTTAAGAAGTCATTTAAACCTGTAGGGTGATAAACTGTGGGGCAGGGGTCTTTTAAATCTGAATGGATGTGAATGGCCTTTGCTCTTGTTTAGTTCATTTTTTTATCCGCCCAGGCCAGCTGAAATGTTGTGTGCCCTGATGGGCACTCCCGGCCTCACTGAGCCCGTTCTAGAAGCAAACCGTGACTTAAAGCCGTCAGCTGTTGCGTCATTTCAGAAAAACAACAGAAGCATCGATAAAGAGCTTCAACTGTGCCTCAACTTCTCCATCACCTCGAGCTCATTTACACGTCTAACACCCCTGCCTCTGCGGGAAGGTTAGTGACCCCTGTCCTGATGAATGAAGCGAGAACAGTCATCAAACCAATCACATTTTCATGTAATTAGGCTCTTCAAATAAATATACTATTTATCCATAGAAAGTACACATTTGGCAATAATTTGTGTTTTTATTTCTGACTGCCATCACAGTACACGAAACTTCTCCCGTTAGAGCCGCTGTTTAAAGCAGTGGAAACACGTGGAGGCACTGAGAGCTACGTCATCGCTGGCTCCGCCCCGCACGTCCCTGCTCAGCCTCTCGTTGTGTGCTTGTAGCTTTAGCCGAGGAGAGAACAAGTGCCCAAAATTGGCTTCGGTCGCTATCCTTTTAAACCTAGACGCCCACAAGACACCTCTCACGGTTAGGGATGGCCTCCGCGACCTCCGATGCGTCCGAACAAGACTCCGCCAAAGCCAGCGACCAAAACGGCGCGGTAAACGGCGAGGAGAAAGACGAGGGCCTGCGCGCTCCGGATCAGGAACCGGTTGATAGCGAGAGTGTTAAAATGGACGAGAACTGCGAGCTCGACGGAGGGGAGAGGGAAGAAGAAGCCGCGGCCGCGGCCGGCGAGTCTGCGGAGACCCCGTCCAGCGGCGATGGGTCAGGCGGAGGAGAGGGTCAGACGGAGGCAGAAATGGACGCTGAGTCGGAGGAGGTGCTGAAGAAATGCCACGAGCAGAAAAGCTCCGACAGTGCGGAGTGCTCGGCAGACGTGACGGGGGAGCTAAAGCAAGAACAAAGAGAGGAGAGCGTGTCTTCACCAGCCGAGTGCGCCGCGAGCAAAGGTGAAGAGTGCCAGGACAAAACTGGCCGCGGGATCAAGAGGAGAGCCAGCGTGGAGATGTCGTCCTCCTCGGACGGAGAACCGCTCAGCAGGATGGATTCAGAAGACAGGTTTGTACATTTGACAAACAGGGCTGACGAGCAACTGCGCCCGCCTACTGATCACTGGTCTCACGTAAAGCTAATTCACTGCCAGTAACTGTGAAAAGGCCAGTTCTCCACGGCTCTGCGTGCAGTGTAGGGATGAAAAACCGGACACTGTAAAATGCGGCGGACCTGACTGTTTCGGTCATGAGCCCGGCGTGTCCGCCGCTGTCGCTTTTTGTTGTTCTCAGTGTGAACTAACTCTCTCTCTCTCTCTCTCTCTCTCCGGGTCAGCTGCTCTTCGCTAGTTGCTGCTGCTGCTGCTGCTCGGTGCCAGTTAGTTAGCTCACACTCGTGAAGTGGAGAGAACGCGTGATGAGCAGCGACTGTCACCGCATTGTCTCGCTTTCCGTGTTGTTCCACATCTCCGCTCTGGAAAGGAGGGGAAACCGTATTATTATCGCTTTTATCTTCAGTTTCTCAAACTTTTTATGCCAAATCGCCTTACCGCTCAGACTCCCATCCAGGGTACAGAAAACCGTGTGGTCTTATTTTTAGCTCTTTATAATTTACTGAATTTAGTCACCATTCCTAGTGTAAACAGATAGAAATGTTTAAAAATAAGTCCCTCAATCAGAATAGAATTACATTTCTATACATGTTAAAAGTAATTTTCCTACATGCACCATAGCACTGGACATCTTAGGCCCCAGTTTGTAGATTGCCATTAGACCTTTACGTTACATACTTAACAAAGATGGTTCTTCAGGGGTTCTTTAGTAAAGGCAGTGCTTCTATTTAGAACCACGAGTCCTGTATGGAACAATTTAAATGGTTCTTTTCATGGTGAAATGGTTCTTCAGATTGGTGGAGAAAGTGTATATAGTTCTATATAGGAGCTTTTTGGAAAGGGTTCTATTGTTGTTACGATGTCAAGCTTGTAATAATAGAAGAACCCTTTTTGGTGCTATTTAGAACCTTTTTCAAAAAGCATTCCATCAACCTTCTGAACCTTCTGCATCCATGGAAGTTAAGAGGTCCTATTGAATCATAGCTGTTATCACTGTTAAGTGTAGTTCATCCAACATGAGTGTTGTTCTTCGCTCATGTCGTTTACTAACAGCAGTCTTTTTAATCAAACGCCTACACCTCGTTATTATTAAGTTAAAACAGAAGTAAAAGAAGAGAGGAGATTACAATATAGAGGCACTCTTTTGCGAAAAAAAAAATGCATTCTAAAAATGTGGCTCTAAACAGGCGTTACGTATGTTTTTATGTATTGTTAATTAGCTTGTTGTATTATTACTATTCATTAATGCATTTTGCTGTTATTTATTCTTTTAATGAAATTACACTGCTACAAGGTCATGGGAAAACATCACTGGAACATTATTGTCATAGCAAGTAGCATAAAATGTGAAACTGAGGAATCATCCTTGATTTAGCACTGCTGACCAGGCTGCTGAGTGTGTTTCACCGTTCAGCTTTTTGGTCAGCTCTTGTCATGGGGGACCATGTTTGCGATTCTTTATGATCAAGGTTATATGCAGCTCTGAAAACGGCTTCATACCTGAGCACATACTTAACCCAGGTATATTAGTCTTAACACCCAGGTCAGTCTGAATAAGTTTCTTCCTGCTTTCTTGCTATCCAGCACACTGTCATATATTCCTGGAAATGAATGCAGTGGAGCAATCTGGAGCAGCAGGAAAAGCACTGCGTGAATAAGGCCGTGCTTATCCTTATGTTACAGATAGGAACGCTGGAGAGTCGTGACAGTCCTACCTCTGACTATTGCTGAGATATCACTGTGGCTTTGTCAGGAAAGGAACATTTAATGACGTTAAAAAGGCTAACCGTAAATCAGTGTTGTTGGCGTGTCGTATAGGCAGATTATCCTTTTCTCTTTAGATATTCTGCTACTGCATGCTACTTGTGACTCGGTAGCTTTTAGCTTGATAAACATAAGTTTGTTTCCCCTTGGACAGATCAAGGCTGTTTTCACACCTAGTTTGTTCTTAACCAGAATTAGCTTTTTTTGCGACATTTGTACTTTTTTACTGCTTGTTTATTGGTCAGACATTTTGCAGGGATAGCGGCTGCTCTCTTACTCTCTCATTTGCCACCATTTGAGCCAAGAAAAGTTCTACTGTACAATAAAATAGAGACGCTCAATGTCAATATGTATCACAGTATAGTTGATGTCTGCTTCTTTATGATTGGTTTGTCATTTTCAGATCGCTGATGCAGTACGTTTCCTGATTCATGTGCCAAAATTAAAGGCATTGCTTCGCTGTTGTTTTAGTGCTCATCTGCCGTTAGTAGTAGCAGCTCATGCTGCAAGAACGATATGACCGTCTTTCAGAATTGGGACGCTAAAAAAGGCAGGTTATGCGGATAGTACGGCGCTGACATGCTGCTAGAAGATGAGCTAAAGAAAAGGTTTGATGGGTCTGCACCAAACAAGGCAGGTGTGAAGCAGCCTACAAATAATGTACAGAAGCAGATGGTTTCATAAAATAGGTAAAAGTGGCAGTTATTTGAATGGCTTTTGTGAGTATTTGTTAGCCCTAGACCATACTATTTTTTTATTATTAAAATGGTAAATTCTATGTAGTACATTGTAGTACAGTGATTTTGAATATGATTTAAATCTGAGTTAATATTTTGTCAAATAATCTTTAGTAGTCATATGCTGAAAACCTTTTTGTACCCTGAAACCCCAGAAAATGTGAAATGCATGCAATGCACCATTTTCCTGCGGTTGCTCGTGAAAAATCATGACCTATTTTTTTGTGAGCTTGAGAAATGGCTCCAGTTATGATGTAGATCCTGGTTACATTAGAACAGACCAAATGTCTGTGAATGTTCTTATGTAGACATCCCTTAAATGAATGCAAAAACTGCTCCCAGTTTTGCTGGCAAGGAGACAACATGAGTTAGAAAGGTTGTTAAATGTTAATTGCGCTTCTGTTGGCTGTCAGTCAGCCAGCAGCCCTTTGCACCAGCAGTGAAAAGACAGTGCTAGAAACAAGTGGCTGTCTTTATGGCAATAACATTCCAGCCAATGTCATCCCATATAATGCAGAGAATTGTACTGAAAACTGCCTTAGAGACAAAGAGCACCACTGGTAATTACTTGGCACCCCTGCTGCTATGTCACCCGTAGTAAATGGATTGTTAAATATAACTTGTAGCTCTACCTAAGGCAGATGAAATTGTTTTAACTCCTTGTTGATTTCAGGATTTCTGGATAGGCATTGGAAAGTGTTTTGCTATTTGATCATCCTCTTTTCATCCTTGATGCTGTTTAGATACCCAAGTAAAAAATGCATGTGATGTGCTTGTAGTGTTTGTGTTGTCGCATCTCACTTAAATACTCCATACTATTAAATAAATATGCTTCTTATTGCTATTATTTATTTTCTTTTTTATCAGGGCTTTATAAACGGCTGTGTCAAAGACAGCAGAATCCAGAAAGTCTTACTGTTAAAGAAAATCTCAGAATACACCTGTGGTGTTTTTAAATATTATAAACTGTAGAACAAAACAGATATTTGAGTATCGTTCCCATCACTATTGAGGCATAGGTCATTAATTTAGAAGATAAAAGTAGTTGCTTGTGAACATTTTGTGAATCTGTGCAGATGTTCCCATCTTCCATAGCATAATGTTTTAGATAATATCCTTTAACCACGAATGACTAGTGTCTTTCACTTCTGTTTCTAAATAGTTAACATCTGCAATTTTTTTTTACGTTTTTTGTTTTGAAATTGGAAAATGGTCCTCAACAGAATTCAGAAAAAAAAATGTTGGTTGCATGTTGGGTGCCTCCAAGGAACACCACCATGAACGCTTCTAAGGGGATTCATCACGTGAGCAAGTGCCCCAAAAGTGATGAGGTATCATCGTGTAGACCTGTGTGTTGGATGAATGCTGTAAGCAGGCGCATGGCAGAAAGAGTGAGAGAGCAGGAAGAGGAGCCATGCTAATGTCTAACAAATGCCATGTCTGGCCTCTGTGGACATGTTGTCCACACGTGCACGCCAGCCCTATCCCATAATCAAAGCTACGAGGGCATGTTACAGACCACAGAGTGGCCTAAGCTGCTGCTGACTGCATTCTGTAGAAAGAGCATCTGATTTCTAGGCTACGTTTCAGACCATTAGAGCTGGTAGCAGAGTCTGGTAACAGTTAAAGCCCGGACGCTGTCAGAAGTTCACACGTTTTGGTTCCAGCAACGTGAGATCGAAGGGGAAAGATGGAAAATTAGTGAACTGTTGCTGATATTGAATGTATGGGATACTACAGTTCATATAGGGATGGTTTTAGTTGGCACTTTGTTTCTGTCTGAAATGGTTAGCTTTCATGTTTAATTTACGCCTGTGCCCGGTGACGGTTTATCGAGTTACCATGGTAACAGCCCCCAGTGCCAAAAAAAACTAACAGAACAAAAAGGCTTGTTTGTTTGTTTATTGATTTATTTTATGCATACTATAGCAAGACAACAGTATGCAGTATTCCCACATGTAAATAACTTCTATATCCTACATTAATAACACATTTATTATACCTAACATGTTGTAAAAATGCAGCTGTGCTGGTTAAACATGGTCTGCTGCAGCCAGGACATTTAAGGACATCACACCACAGCGTGAGGTTTCAGGCTGAAAAACTGCTTTGGTCTCAGGAACAGCATGAGTAAAAACGTCTTAGCTTCTGTTCGTCAGGTAAAACGTCTTTTCTAAGGCAAAATGACTTCAGAGAAGAAGGTGAAGGGATAAGATATGCAGCCACAAACTTTCAAATGGTAAAGTTCTCAACATTCGCAGTCCTATCCTGTCTTTGTAGATTAATTACAGTGTGGCCAAATTAAAGATGACAGTATATGACAACCGCACTGCGGTATATCACAACTGAACTGCGCTTTTATTTGACAAAGATTAAGACCCACTCGCAGGGTATCTATTTGTTTCTCCCACACCCGCTTTATTATGAGCCACTGACAGAAAATTACGGGACTAAATGGTCCGGTAATTTTTCCCCCCAACCCAGTTTATCCATGGTTATCTAAATAAGAGGACTCTTATGGCACAGGCCTAGTTTGGTTAATAAAACGTTTGTTTCTTATGAAGAGCCTTGGTACATGACGCTACGTAATTGAACACATTTAGTTTGCTTGAGTAGAGATGCGCTAGTCTCACTTTTCCTCTCCCGATAACGATTCTGATAGATGAATTCAGAGTATGGGTCAATACTGAAAGCTGAATTGTTCATTTTTAGTGGAAGCAGTTACGTGGTTTGCAATACTTTACTTACAAACTAGAAGTACGTGAAAGTGTTGCAGATTTAGAACACCATCCCTAATGAAACCAGTGAAATTTACCCATAAATCCAAATCCTTTACGTTTTGAGTGAACACTTTTTATGTTTAGTCCTGGGTCCTGATGGAAAGACAGAAGGTTCAGAAACATTCAGTGTATCCAGTTTCAGGCTAACTTTAGCTCTCATCTTTGTGTAGTTTTATGTTTTTTTGTTTGTGTGTGTGTGTGTAGAAGGGACAAGTGTCCTGAAGCAGCCTCTATTATTATCCCACCCCTTGCGCTAAGGCACAGCCTGGTGCATTGTCTCTCATGGATGTGTGCAGTCAAGTTTGAAAAGGAAGCGACAGATGGAAGCTTCTGGAGCTGTGTGCAAGGCAGTCTTATTCTGCCCTCACTTCAAACCTGTGTGTGTGTGTGAGTGAATAGCAGCTGAAGAGGGACAGCGGAGCCCCCTGATGGCCTATTCACCGATTCATTTGCTTTCATGGTACTTTGTTGACATGTCTTTGTCTCGGAGAGAGGCCAGGAGCCATTCTTTTTTTCACTGGGACGCTCCACAGCTGCACATGCTCTGCAGAAAGATGGAGTGTTACAGGCCTGAGTGTGCCAGAGTTTGGCGGGAGTTGTCTGCTTTGGACCTGTTAACTGTGCAAACACTTATGTATTGTGAAAGAACATGGCGAGTGCCGCAGTTGTAAGTGGCACAGTTCGTTAAAAATACCCTGTAATTTAAATTTGTTTCCGTATATTTCTTTTTTGTTACTGCTTGGTTGCTCTTGCTGGACTTTTGTGTGTGCGTATGTTGTAGATAGTACAATAGGATTACACACTTAATTCTCATCCAGGGGCCGTTTGCACCAACAGGTCTTTACTATGATGGTTTTAACTGCTCAGTCGGTTTATAGCTAAGATCAGTTTTCAGAGAGGACTTCATACTGGTTGCACAACCAAAATGAGGCTGGCTTCCGTGAATACTACATGAAATTAAATTGAACTTGCATCGTATAATGCAAAGCGTCCTGCAACTCAGTCATAACAGTTGCAAGCGTCTCAACTTGGTGAAACAATGAATCAAAACAGCAAAAACGTATCACCCGATCATGTCAGATGACATACTTTAAACCGACTGAGTCCACTGGATCAGTGGACAAGAATATAACAAGATGGTTTTTGGGCAGTAGAAAAGGAGACCCCCCCCCCTCCTTTCTGGAGGGCCAAGACGTTCTTGCTCAAAGCTTATATAATTTGTTTCTTGTCATCACAAAGAAGCCCAAAGGAATTAAAAAAATTAGGAAAACTTTATTTAAACACAACGTTTTACTTTATTGTTACCAATGATACAAGCTAAAACAGAACAATAATAAATGTTGAATAATATTGTTTTATATTTCTGTCATGCCATCTAGGTGTAAATGACTCACTCCTTGGGTTTCTTGCTAAAAGCACTCCAAAAGTGCTAGAATTGGGCAGGTTAGAGCTATAATCACATCAGCATATGACCTAAATATAATATGTAGTTTTACTGCAGCAGAATTCTCCAGGGGAAACACTGAAAATGCAGTGTAAATGTAATGTGACAATTTCATAGTTGTCTAGGAATGCTATTAGTTATTAATTTTCGTAATTTGCCATACAGTATGCTTCCCAAGAATGAACGACTCACCCCCCATACTGCTCCAACGATGCACGTAGACCTGTGTGTGATTTACAGTGCTCAATCTGTAGTGTCCCTCTGTCTTTCTGTGTGTTTCAGTATCAGCAGCACTCTGATGGACATGGAGAGCACTGCATCCAGTGGACGCTCCACGCCAGCCATGATGAATGGCCATGGAGGGGCAGCTGCGCAGTCTGCCAAAGGCTCATCGTACCCGTGTTGTTGGGACCAATGTCCACTGCTCTTCACCAACAGCCCGGACCTTGCAGAACACATCCGTGGAGTCCATGTGGACGGCCAACGTGGAGGGGTCAGTCTCGCGTTCCTGTCTCTTCATGTCAGCATGCCAAAAAGGTTCCAGGATATGTAAACTAAGTTTGACCGTTTGGCCAAAACACTTCAGTGATAAAGGCTTAGCCCTTAAGAAGCTGGAACTCTAAACATTATCAGAGGCCTTTTTTCCACTGTCGAACCAAATGGTTCCCAGGGCTGTACAGCGCCGTTCTGTGCTGGTGTGGACTTAGGAGACCGTTTTCGGTTTCTTTTTCCATCTGCTGTGTTGATAAATCAGAACCAGGAAATACTATATAAAACTACACATACGAGTTGCTCAGTAACGCGTTCGTTTCCAGCTGTCACTTGATTTTGTGTTCTCAGAGTCTTTATTTGAGGGGGAGCCTTTAGCCTGCTAACTAATGTTACACTAGTGTTAGCCTAGCCCTGCAGGCTACAGCTCAAAAGGCTAGGAATAGGGTTGATTTCTGCGTTCTGTCACTCTAACACCAGTCATTCGACTTTGCTTTCTCAGACATGAGCACGTGAGTTTTCTATAACACTCAAAGCAGCAGAGCACCGGTTACATGATGATGAGCTAGCGAGGCTAGAGAAGCCGGTTAACACTAGCCTAGCTAGGAGACTACAGATCCAAACACCATCGAACAGGTTTAATTTTTGCACAATACAGATGTAAACATAGAACCAATCAGTGAATAGCCACGTCATTGCATTGTCCCATTGAACTGTTCTGTGGCCCAGAGCACGGTTAGCTAACTATGTTGAAGAGCATGGTTTGTAAGTGTTCTGTGATGAACCGTATGCGTGTTGATCAAATATTCCTTAAATTTGATAATAACCGCGACAGTGCGGCTCCGATTGATTAGCCTGATTTTAACGTCTCCACACAATGCAAAAAATCAAAGGGGGAAAAAATGCAGTATTGCAGTCTCAGTTCTAGATTCAATATGAGATACGTGTGTTCATTTATTTTTTTTTGTCCATAAAAATCAAACCCTAAATCTGTTTTTTTGTGTTTACAGCTGTTAGCTTAAGATACTTTTAATTTCTATCCTTGTCACACCAGTGGCTAAACTTAGCTGAGAGAGAAGCCTAAACCACCAGCAATTCCAGCCCACTGATGCTGCACTGAGGCAAGTTTGGAGAATAAAGACTCAAATCTGAGTGAATGAAATTAAGTGACTGGTGCTGGAGTGGCATAAAGACAAAATCTTTCTAACTATTAAAGTTACAGTGGGAGCTTATTTCTGTTTCTGCATCTGTTCAAACATAGCAATGCTGTTTAGTATAGTGGGGTGAACAAACAAACAAGGCAGCAAGAGGACATTTACAGTTTCTTTTATTTATGACTATAAAGTAATTTAACGTTTGAGAAAAGGCAGATGAGCTTGTATTATTTGTAAATTGTTAAGTAGGATTATTAGTCATATAGAAATTATGTAGTGACTTTTCTTCCCCTCAGGATGTTTTACATGCCTTGTACTCATATCTAAAGTTTAGAAAATTGTGTAATACTTGCGGCCTGAATTTCTAGCTTCTGTAGTTCCTCTTCACTCTCTCTTAATCTGTTTTGGTTATGTGTGATTGCTATAGAAACTAAAACCAACAACATCTCACCCACAATCTGCTGAATCTTAATTAAGCGTTCTGAGTTAAACTAAAGCTTGCGTAGTGTCTTGGTAGATACGGCAGCCTAACATGATTTGTTACATTGTACGAGTGAATGTGTTCTCTGTGGCAGGTGTTTGTCTGTCTGTGGAAGGGCTGCAAAGTGTATAACACTCCTTCCACCAGCCAGAGCTGGCTCCAGAGACACATGCTGTCTCACAGTGGGGACAAACCTTTCAAGGTACGATTGTGCCTCAAACTGGCATGCACACACAGTCACACAGCACAAAACCGATGCACCTTACCTTACATTTTGCATGTTAAAAGGTATTTAGATGTGATTTGTTGCAAAATACCCTGATATATTGGACTTAACCAATTAAGTTTGAAATTTGATATGCCACAATTAGGGCTGGGCGATTAAACGATAACGATAATTATCGCGATATAACTTTTCCTCGATAGAGCGACAAGACATGTTCGATAAATGTCCGATATAATACGCCGTTCTCACACTTCCACGTTTTAGTGAAAACCTTGGTGGCGTTTTCTACTGCAAGGAAAGCGACACTACTCTGCTGTCGCCAGGAGAGGGCGCACTTCCGAGTTTTTCTACATGATTAGAGAGGGAGGGGGCCACGAGTAAAAAAAGGGTCGCCAAATATACTTTAGCAACGGCTGAAACGCGGAGTTATACAGTCCCTGTTTGAGTGGAGCGACCGGCGATCTGTTCTCCTGTGACCGAGTGATGAGATCAGTGGTGTAACTATACTGTCCTATGGTGAACTCACCTTTCTGTACATCCTAACCAGCTTTATTGGTGTTAAATCACAATCCTCACAACTACAGCGCTGTTACAGCGCTCGGGCAGTCATATTTTAGTATTAGTGCATTCACAAGCAACGAAAGTGAAAGAAAGAAGTGGGTTAATGTGAGTTACAGCCCTTATTTAAACGACAGTACACTGAGGAAGCTGTGAGGCATTGGAGAGCAGGAGAGTGCTATCTTTCCAGGCTAGCTGTTTTTATCAGCAGGCTAACTTGAAGCAGCGCTCCGTCACTCCACAACACGGAGAATTGATGATACTGTAGATCAAACACGGCACAAAAGCACCGCTTTCAGGACTCCGTTTGTCTCGTGTTTGTTATTTTGCGGTTCACCACTTAAACTACTACAATAGTATAGAGAAATCCAGTCGTCTAGCTGGTGTCTGAATACAGGGGTAGCCGAGCGCTCGGCACCAGCTAAAAATTTTCTTAAATTATGACTATTACAAAATAGCCATGCTTTTCCAGCTGGTAAAAACAGCTCAGCAGACACTCTCTCCCACTCTCCCATGACACATTTGTGAAATGTTCCACTGTTTGGTGACTGTCGTGTTCCGACCGTAAAGGAAAACAGCAAATAACCACCCAGGAGCAAAAATCTGCCTTTAAAATAAAATAATGATTTGACATTTATCGCGATATGTATCGATATCGAACGATATGAATTTTGTTTATCGTGATAACATTTTTGGCCATATGGCCCAGCTCTAGCCACAATACTAAAATGTGTAGTATTTTATTCTCATACTAGACATCTTCATCTTCACATCATATGGTAATCACCACCTGATATGTAAAAATCATCTGGTATATCAGTAATCATGTTTAAGTTTATAAATATGTGGAAGGACCCATACTGTACAGTAAGGATCTTGTTTTGTCTCTGACATCAGGAAATCTGTAAACTATTAAAATATTTTAAAAACTGAGAGAATAATGGCATTTTTATTTTTTATTGTCTTCATTGTCCCATTTTGTTATTAATTACACTGTCTCTGTTTTTTTTCAGTGTGTAGTCGGAGGTTGCAATGCCACTTTTGCCTCCCAGGGGGGGCTAGCACGCCATGTGCCCACCCACTTTAGTTCACAGAACTCATCCAAACTGTCAAGCCAAGCTAAGCTGAAGGAAGAGTCACCTTCTAAAGCAGGCATCAACAAGCGCAGGAAGCTAAAGAACAAACGCAGGAGGTCATTACGTATGTATCACTGTCCCCACCCAACTGCCCCCTCCAGCCCCTGTCCTATTTCTCTGTTAGATGCTATTTCAAGTTCTGGATTTCATGTGCCTGTGTTTTAACTCTGCCTCTTCTCAGCTCGGCCACATGACTTCTTTGACGCACAGACCATGGATGCCATCCGTCACCGTGCTATCTGTCTCAATCTGGCAACCCACATTGAGAGCCAGGGCAAAGGCCACAGTGTGGTGTTTCACAGCACGGTAAGTCTGCAGTACATAATCCAAGCAGTAGAGGGCAGCACTAATACACACGCTTCTTTTTTCTGTACTGTATGTCTGCTACGAGCTGTTTTAAGTATTATTTGAATGGGACTAATTTTACATGGGGAGGTGCATAAATGTTATCAATACCAGAATGTCTGTTATTTTAGCCGTGTTTTAATATGTTTAATCAATAACACATCTGCAGTGATTGTGGTGGCTTTTACTTACTATAAAATGGGCCGTATAAATAATCTCGGGTTATATTAATCCCATGGGAATTGACCGTCGAATATGTAGTCATATGTGGGAAAGGAGTTTGCATCCTTTTTTTCCTAAAGAATTGAGGCACTTAAGGAAGTATTCTCTGTGGACCAAATCAAGCCGATAAGTACTGGCCTACCTCAGCTAAGTGTATGACACCAAACTTTAAACCAAAACCTTTAAATGTGACAGGAAAAAATGGCCACTGTAGTTTGATTTTATGTGGTGATTTTGATGGTTGACCATAAATTCCACACTGTCAAAAAAGGGTACTGTACAGGTTCAGTTTTTTTCAAGGTACAAACAATGTAAACACTTCGAAAAAATAGGACAGTGGGAAAAATGTAATTAAAAACAGCCAGCAGGTATTTACAAATCCTTTTTTTATACGAATTCAATTGAAAACAAGTACAAAACTGTTTTTTTTTATCTTTTTTTTATTATATATATCAGCTTATTCTAAATTTTATGCCTGTAACATGTTCCAATAAAGACAGAACAGAAGCAAGTTCAGCATTGTGTTACATCATTTTTCCTTTTAACAACATTCAGTAATCGTTTGGGCGCTGAAGACACCAGGTGTTGCAGTTGTGGAAGTGAAATTCTTTTCCCATTTTTGCTTGATGTAGCTCTTCAGTTGCTCAACAGTCTGAGGTCTCTTTGTTGCGCTTCATAATGCGCCACACGTTTTAAAAGGTGACAGTCTAGACTGCAGGCAGGCCTGTCTAGCAGCTACACTCTCTTACTACAAAGCCACACTGTTGTAACACACCCACACATCATGACAGACACTGACTTTTGACCTTTGCCTTGGTGACAATTGGAATTGAATAATTTCTCTGTGGCCCGGAGAACATGACATCAGTTATTGCCAAAAACAATTTGAAAGGTGGACTTATCAGACCACAGCACACTTTTCCACCTTGCATTAGTCCATCTCAGATGAGCTTTAGCCCAGAAAAGTCGGTGGATATTCTTCTGTATTCTGGATATTGTTGATGTGACTCCCGCTTTGTGGTTAAGTTTGTTACTGAAGCGTCTTGGGTTTTAATGCTGTGCTGTCTAAAGGATCAAAGGTTATTAGCGTTCAATATCATTTTTTGGCCTTGCCCTTTATGCACAGTGATTTCTCCCAATTCTCTGAATCTTTTAATAATGTTATGGACTTTAGTTGGTGAAATCCAAAAATTTTTCTTTGCAGTTATGCATGGAGAAACATTCTTAAACTGCTGGACTATTCACTGAGCCTTTCAAATGCTCTTTTTTACCTAGTCATATTAGCATATGTTCTTACCTTTGGGGAAAGTTCCAAAACAGGGAGGGGTACCCCCCCAATGAGTCCACCTCTCTGGTGGAAATGACTAATTACACACAATGTGAGGAAGAACATTTTATAAAGTGGATTGTGCTTTGGACCTGTACAGATAAATCGAGCATGTTGAAAGATTTTTCAAGGAGAACTCTGCAAAAACTTGGTGAAGCACGTCTTCCAAGGATGCAAGTGAACTATCTACTGTTGTCATCATATCTTCATCAGTATAATGTTAATTTTTACATTGAACCAGATCTTCTTTTAGAGCCTGTGTGTGTGACGGTAATACATAAAGATGTCTGACATCATCCGAAAACTCTGTAATCCGACCTGACACCTCTGACTTGTAAATCATTAGTTAAGCAGCATGATTTGCAGCAGCGCACGCACACCATATTTTTTTTCTCCTGACCCAGTAATGCTACTTTTTAATATATTAACAAAAATAATTAGATAGTACAGCTTTAAATTGTTCAGTCAAAATGGTTTCAAGCACAGCTCAATTGACATAGACTGCAGTTAAATATCATATTCTGGATAACATGAGGAAAGTGCACAAAATAGAATTTAAAAAAATGTAATTGCTTGGCCACAGGGACACCAGTATTTTAGAGGCATTATATCATGGTTATTATTTTATAGATAGATAATGGGTCTAATATCATGGACATGAAGCTTATCATCTAGGGGATACATTGCCAATAGTATTCTTAAAACCGAAAAGCTCCTGCTATGCCAATATCATGATATCCTGGTATTGACTATATATCACACAGCACTACCAAATAATACTTTAATTTTATGACTTGTATTACATCCTATACACTTCGTGGACTATGACAAGTCATCTCTCTGATGTATGGGTGAAAATCTTTAACCTTACAATTTAATTAGATTGATTCTTTAAATTTTAAAAATCTATGTTTGAAATCTGCATTTTAATTTGATTCTCTTGCTATGGTTCAGAAGTATATAAAAAATATATTATTGACTGAAGGAACTATTTACGCAGTAGTAGAGTATATATAATAACAATACACCAAGTTCTTTTCAATAGTCTGGGAATAGCACCAACTTTTCCCTTTGGACAAATGATGTGTGCATTTTTTTGAATGTTATTATAATTGATTGTAGTCGGTTCTGTTATTGCAGCACTGATGCACTTGAGTTGCTAGATCGATGCATCACAATGCACTGATGCATTATTACACACCTACTCTGACTCAATTGACATTGCTGTGCAGTGAAGACATCACTGTCCCCTCAACATACTGTTTGATGTTCTAGCCCCAATGCAGTCTAGTTACTGAATGATGTAATATTAGCCAGTGGTGTTACCATGTTTCCATTGATTAGGTTGTTCAAGTTAGTGGCTGTGTCCTGCTTTTTACATGCAGAGATGCTGCCAAGTTCTTCTTAAATATCTCCCCACCTCCACAAATACATAAAGACACTTACATTCGATGCTGGCTATAGTTCTGCACAATAAAAGTGAATGTAGTATTGCAAGATTGCAAGACTGACCAGTTATTTAACAAGCTTGGCCCACACTTTTCATTCATGTCTCAGGTTATTGCAAGGCGGAAGGAAGATTCTGGAAAGGTGAAGGTACTGCTCCACTGGACCCCAGAGGACATGTGAGTACTGACTGCAGTCCCCTTTGGTTGGTGTTTGTGTGTGTGTGTGTGTGTGTGTGTGTGTGTGTGTGTGTATCTCTATATGTATATCTCCTTGTATCTACACTCATTGTCCATTTTATCAGCTCCACTTAACACATAGGTGCACTTTGTGGTTCTACAAATACAGACTGTAGTCCATCTGTTTCTCTGCATACTTTGTTAGTACCTTTTCACACTGTTCTTCAATGATTAGGACCCCCATAGGACCACGACAGAGCAGATAGTATTTAGGTGGTGGATCACTGTGAATTGATTCAGAATCGTTCACGTCCGCATCGCGATGCATCTAAGAATTGATTTTCCCCCCACCCCTACACCACAGGACTTGTTCAGTGGTAAGTGGGCCGGATGAAATGGATAAAGGGTGTTGATAAAAGGAGATGTAATTAAGCAAGTTGCTGGTCAGCCAACTTCTGCCATGCACATACAGTTTCTTTTACTTTTAGCACAATTATTTAATAAACATATTCTCTCTCTCTCTCTCGCTCTCTCTCTCTCTCTCTCTCTCTCTCTCTCTCTCTCTCTCTCTCTCTCTCTCTCTCTCTCTCTCTCTCTCTCTCCCCTCTTGTGCTTGAGGAAAGGACCTTTCAGATTAGGCACTGATCCTCATGCATGGTAAAAGCCCATGTTTAATGTCCGCTCTAATGGAGAGAGGGCCCTTTTGCCCATTTAATGCAACATCCACCATCTCTCTCTTTCATGTTCTGAAGGCACACATCTTTGATGTTTGTCCAAGGCCCTGCTTTTCCTCAAATACCTTTTAAAGGGAAGCATTATCTTCTTTCTCGTTGTTTCCAAAGCAAAGTCAAGATGACCTTTTCAACGTGTCACCATTAATGACTCCTAAATTACATTCAACTGGAGTTGTTTGGGAGGCTTTACCTTACATGTAGGGATGCGAGTAATACCCAGTATAAATGTTTTCATTGGTTCTGTCATAGTTATTGTATTTGAATTATTTTTTTACCCTTTAAAGTCCTCGCTGAGTAAAGTACATTTGTGCCAAGTCAACCTTTGTTCATGGCACTGTGATTTTAATTGATTGTGATTCATTGAGTTGCCCACAGAGCTGTGGCATTTCTGTATGTTTGCCTAAATTTCCTATTTATTTAATTCACCGAACTAGATACAGATACTGTTGCATAACTGACCTGCATGTAGTGTGAACAGCCTAGTCATAGTTATATTGATATCTTGATAAGATATGACTCTCATATGTTCCAGTAGATTGGTGGTTGTGTGTGACAGAGGGAGAGAGAGTGAAATCCATTTCTCTTGGGAGCTGCTATTCTGAGACACACATCAATTCGTAGCTGGAAGAAGGGCTGGCAGCTCTGTGATAACCCTGAGAAAGTTTGAGTCCTGGGGGATTGTGTATAAAACACAGATTTCTGGGTCACCAGAACAAGAAAAACAACACTCCTTTGTGGAATAAGGTTAAAAAAGCCCCTTGTTTCTAATAATCTCTCTGTGGAATGTTTGTCAAGGAAGTTGGACCGAGACATGGGGCTCCTAAAGTTTTATACACTAACATGTGGAAGGCTTAACCTACACTACAAAACGTTTCACTTAATTTTGTGCTTTCGTACAAATCTTCAACACCAAGTGATTCTGCAAGTTGTGAGGAATTAGGTCAGTCATCTTCTGATGTAAAATGGGCAGAAACCAAATCTCTGTTCTAATCCACATCTAGAGCCATCGCAGATGCTCCAGTTGTTCGTTACAATGTGAGGAATGGTCTAATTTTGGACTTGAGTGCGCTAGCCGAGCTAGATACTGAGCCGGCCTCATGTCCAAGTCTTGATGTAAGAAAACAGATACATAGAGGGCCAAGTATTAATATATCACTATTTAATTACAATTATCATGTGTATTAAGCCTATTTGTAAGACAGATTGGACATTGAGAAGCTTTCCTAGTGCATAAGCTGGTGGTGAGGCTTCTTGTTCCACTGACTTCTGTCAGGAGTGGCTTTGGTAAAAGTTGTTGGATAACGTAGTAAAGAACACCGCTGGTCCACATGAGAGGCTGGGCTTCGGTTCTCTGTCCAGGCACTACTACTAAACTCTCAGAAACTGCACCTTTCAGAGTACAAACGCTGACACTGGGGTGGTACCCACAAGGGTATGTCTTCAGTACCTTCAGTCTTCAAGGAACATAACTGTTCTGTTTTCTATAGCAGTTATATTTTTTAAGCTGTATTGACTCGCCTCATTTTGACTTCAGGTATTGCATTTTATTTTTGTACTTGAAGTTGTGCTCTTCAAGGTACACTATTGGACTCTTAAGGACACCTTAAGGACCTTTTGGTAGCTCATGAATGTTAGAAGGGTATGATATTTTACCTAGACCCTTTTTCTAACCCTGTAGTGTGCCAGAAAGAATCATACGGCAATCCTTCTAACACAATTGTAAGTCACTCTAAGCGCATTCTTGACTTTCTCATTCAGTGCCACCATCAGCTCTACTGGTAACTTTTTTTTCACGTGTGCAGTAGTGAAAATTCCACCATTCCTCTCTCTTTCTGCTGCCACATCTCTTGTACATGCTGTATGGTCGTTTGGACTGTTGTAATTCTCTCCTTGCAGGCGTTAGCTCTTCCTCCCTTCCCAAGCTTCAGAACTCTGCTGCTTGTTTTCTCACTCGTTCTCTCACTCACAACCACATTACACCTATTCTTCATGATCTCCACTGGCTTCCTGTAATGTGCAGCATTCATTTAAAAACTCTTCTGCTCACTTACAAAGCTCCTTGTCTGATCTTCTCCTTCCCCATCACTCCACCCATACTCACTGTCTTCAGCTGATTTACTAACCGTTCCTCCATTCAGTCTTCATAGTTTCGGCACTCAAGCGTTTTCAGGATTTGCTCCTTGTTTGTGGAATTCTTTTCCTCCACTAAGTCTGGTAGTCTAATTCTCTTTCATACTTAAATCGGTCTCAAAGCCCATCTCTTCTCTCCAGGCCCTGGATCATCCAATGTTTTTTATGAGTGTGTGCTCAGGGACAAGAGCCACCAGAGGGACCCCACAAGCAATTATGAGAAAATCTAAATAGCTGTTTTGACTCGAGTTGGGAACGTTACTTGCGCAACAGTGAAAAACACTAATTCTAACTGTCATTGTGTTAAGGCCAATCAAATTCCTAATGCTCTCCATGACTTTTCTAAACGACCACTTCATTTTCCGTTACACTTCCAATCCAGTTATCCGATCTGCCATTGCCTTGTTTGCTGCTTTTTGTCTTTATAGACATTTCAGTTCGATTTTAAGTGCAGCAAGCCATTGCTTTTATTCAGGCAACTCTATAACTACTACAGTGTACTGCTTATAGAGTGAATTATTTGGTGTGTGTGTTCACTTGATTTCACTTTCGATATGTTTTATAATATAAAGCAGGCATGTCAAACTGGTGACCTTCTGGCCCAAAGTGCTGCAGAGATTAGCGTTTACCCTCATCTAACGCTCTGAATTCAGTTCATGAATTCGGCTTGCTCATTAGCTGAAGAGCTGAATCAGGTGTGTTTAATGAGGCGTTGTGCTGAAATATGCCGTGTTTTGGCCCACGAAGACTGGATCCTGATACATGTGATATAAGTGAAATGATCCTATGTAGGGTCCTGTGATGGGTTGTGAACAATATTCATGAAATCTGCTGTTGTATAGTGTGCAAAAGATCATTTGGTGTTAAAAGCCGCATGTATGTAGAGGGCATGAGAGTAGCATTTATTTGTAGCCCATACAAGACCTTTTAACTGCTGCTGTTTGCTCTTGTGGCCTAATGGCCGTGAGTGAGGCACTCTGAAGCCGTGTCCTCTGATGTTAGACTTTCCGTATATAAAGCTCCTCCTTTTCTCTCCTCCTTCTCTGTACAGACTGCCAGATTCATGGGTGAGCGAGAGCGACCGGCCACAGATGAAGACCAAAGTGGTGCACCTCTCCCAACTGCCCCAGGACACAGCTGTGCTACTGGACCCCAATATCTACAGGTCAAGGATAGCAAAGATGCCTTGCTAATTTTGGTCTTTGGGCTAATACACTTCATTAGTGTCCCTATAAAAAAGAGACTTTGTCAAGCACAGGACCTCTTCAAATCCGTCAGGGTGGGCGATATATATGATATGATATCCTCATTATGACAATTTACCTCAAGTTGAGCACTCACTACTTTAATGTTAATTACAAAGAGCGCCCAAAAGGCTCCCAGGTGGCATAGCCATCTAAAGTTTGGTCTTATTGTTGGGAGATCAAGTGTGAAATTTGGTGATCACGTCTTAAGTCTGAGAAAACATGCCGTGTTCAAAAGTAGTCTTGGAACACAATCATTTTTTTTTATTTTTATTTTTATTTTTTTATGTATTAGGGAGATTGTGCTTTACCATATTCAAAAGTACAATATTTCAGCTGTATTAGAACTTAATCAACCAACAAACTGGAAAGCTTTCACCTAATCTCCATTTTACTTCAATACAGATGTTGGGATACTTATCCAAATGCACATGTTCTACTACCATGCTACTTCTGGACAGCACACACCTGACTTAATTTCAGTAACATTCTGAATGACATTGCTTCAGAAAACTTGAAATGTGCGTCGAATTGTCAAATATATGACTGTCAAAAATATTGTCTACTTTATAATTCCAAAATCAAGCATGAAAAATGCACTGAAGAGATGAAAAGAGACAGGAAGTGTTAAAACCTGCCACACACTGACCATCCAAGAGAGAAAATCCAGCAAGCCTGACTAAGCATTCGTTGTGCAAACTCTTGCACTCCATGCCTAGAAGATTTTAAGCTATCATCTAAGCTAAAGGACATACTGACCTAAATGATATGCTAAATGTTAACACACATAAAGGGAAGAGGCGCTGTTTGTCTCACCTATGTTTGAGTACTTTTATTGGCCTTTCTTACATTTTGAATCAATTTGGGGTCATTTTGAGTTTCAGTTAGTGAATCTGGTCATTATTGCTGGTTGTTGTATCTTTTCTGATGGAAACAAAAGAATAAATGATGACTTTGGCTTGAAAAGTAATAAATAAACAAGACATATATTCTGAGAGTGTCCCAAAACTTTTGAGCGCTGTAATTGGCTCAGCTTAATTTGCTGTCTTGGTTATACCAAATAAACATTGTATTCCAAGCATTACCGAAGACCAACTACACAGACAAGCTTCTACAATATAGTCGTGATATTTGTGAAATAACGTAGTTTTTACATAAAATTTGGATCATTTTCCATCAATTTACTTTTTAAAGTTGGGACAACAGCTAACATACTCATTCCACAACATGCTCCTCATTCCACTGATCGCTTATTGTAATCTAAACTCTCTGTTTCCATTCAGTCATTCAGCTTGGCTGTCAAAATGTGACTGACACATAAGCATATCCTGATAACAAGAAAACAGGCTATAGCTAGCTAGCATTTATCTTTACCTCACACAGATATGAGTGCTGCACACTGATAATACGCTGAAAAATGTCCTGATTCAAAGTGTACCTCAGATCAGCTTATATTAAGCAGGTTAAATTAAGTTCTTACACACAGTAATTGTTGATGTGTCATTATTTCGTTCATGTGTACATTTGAATTATGTAAATTTACAGTTACCATTAAGCAACTTTTTTCCCAGTACAGGCTTGTGGTTGAACAGGGACCAAAGAAATGAAATGGCTAACATTATTTAAACAGAAATGATACAGGGGTTGGCAACTTGCTGAAGAAGAGTGAGGTAACCCAGACAAGTTGTCAGTTTAGCTAGGAGCCTATAGCATAGCAAGTTATTTAGCAAACTTTTGACAAGGGCTTTATTCAAATATTCCTTGAGTAGAATTCACTTTTTGTACAGGTGGCGACAGTTATTTACTGCATATCTCCCCAGTTTTTAGCCTCTCATTTTTTAGTATCTTACATTTAGTTTTTTTTTTTTCCATGTTCAGTTGCTAGGCTTAATCCCCCTCCTTAGTTTTCACCTAACCCAAGCTTTCTCTGAAAAGGCTGATAATATAATGAAATGCACAACACCAATTCCAGTTTCTTCTGGACTCTAGGCTCACAAGTTATATAGTGATTTCTCCACCAGATGGCACCAGTCACTGCAAGTAACAGCAGTAGTCCATTAATCAGAGGATATGAGTTTATCACTGGGCAAACAGAACATGATTAAATAATTAAGCTAAGTAATCAGGAGGTTGTGTCGAGCAGCTCTTACTTAATGTTTCAAGCTGGATAAGGCTAGTATATGACACTGGTACATGTAGCAGTATTTGTTTACCCTGCTGTCTAGTAGCAAACTAGTAGACAGTTGACAGGTGAGTTTCTGATTAGAGTTCACATATTTCTGCATGAACAACATACTAAATACTATTTATCTCTCAAGTTAGAGAGCAAGAAAAGTGATCACTTTTTGTTTTAAACAAATAGATCTGGAGTGGTCATTATGCTTCTTTGCTGTATCCATTGTGATCTTGTACAAGCAGGGCTGTGATTAACTGTATAATCCCCTGTTCTTTCTTATTTGTGCTTTGTGAGGAGTTTGTTAATGTGGCCTGTCTACATGACCTTTGGTTGCTTTGGAATGCAAGGCATTTTGAGTATGTTGGTCAAGGCATGCTTTTTTGTGGGTGGAAGAGTGTGTATCAGTGCGTGTTAATGATTACATGCAGCTCCCTGCTTCCCACACAGCCCACAATGAAACATGCGCTACGGAAGAAAGCCTAGAGAGCTCCACAGACATCTGTAGAGGCTTAGCTTAGCCTGGAATATATGACCCGTGTTCTTCACCTCGTTTACTGATCCTCACATTTGCTTTAAACATGCCACTTACTTCATGTCCCTTTGTGTGTGTAAGCGCATTTGTTTGCCTGACTGAGATGTATGTTTTGCTTGTTTTCAGGATGTTTTTGTAGAAGTGGAGGAGCTCCTTTGTCATCGCCTGCTGACGTTCCCCAACTGAAGTGGACGAATGGATCTTTAGAGGATTTTTTTTAAGGCTCCTACTTGACCCATCAGCTCTTTTTGTCTTTTTTTTCTTTGTTAATGCTCAAAGTCTGCCCACGCATGCAGTGAAATTTAAATGTGCTTTCATCCGTGGAAGAGGAAAAAAAAATCACACAACAGCAAACCATGTGGTGCTTGACTTTTTCTTGGAAGACTCCTCTTTTTTTCTTATACCACCTCAAGAATGAACCTCCCGTCGTCCACAGCCCTCCTTTTGAGCTTTATAGAAGTCTTGTAGACAAGTTTGTTGAGAAAGCGCCCATGTAAATATCCCTGGAGATTTCCTGGAGATTTGTAATATATTTTTGTACTGCAAAATTTTACTGTACTGTAGATAGTTGTAATATTCCACAAGCTTACTGTACAGAATGATGGAATAATTAGATGATTAGCTAATTTTTTAAAATAAGACTGTCAAAGACTAGATATAGTGATCCCATTCTCAGTCCAGCTGTTGTCTCGTACTGCTGCATCGCACTCTGATGATAATAGATAAGGATGATGTTAATCTTAATGTGTGTGCTCTTTGTATGTGACCTCTACTCAAGCTATTTACAAGCCAAGGACCATGCATACATCTCAAATGAATGGTGCTACAGCTAACACTAGCATTTTAGACTTATATAGAAAAGCTTTTAGATTGATAATGGTGGTGTTCTATAGTTCATGGAGAACCCCAGCCCACTGTACTGTTGGATCCTAACTTTGTCTTTGTAGTAAAGCAAAAAAATGATGTACGTTTTGGTATCATTGTTTTGTGTGTTTGTTTGCATGTGTGTCTCACGCTGAGTTTGGTGTGCTGCTTAGCTCCGAAAGGCAGCGATCTCTGAGTGAATCCAGTGACGTTCATTGTGCGCAGGTCTAGTGTTAGCACTGAGACCAGCCTGTAAAAAATCTCCTGGTTCTGACACAGGACTCTTGTTTATTGGGAATGCAGAGGCCAGGGGCATCTGGGAGTCATTTCTGTCGGCCCAGATTTGCAGGCGCTGGGTAGGAGGGGCTTGATGAAGAGCCTGCCAGAGGCCACGGCTCAGCGACAGCTGCCCTGGCCAGCCCTCTGCAAAGACCAGAGGACCATTACTGTCCACTTTTAAAGAGCTGCCATAGATACCTGTCTGGTACACATGGTTTGCCAGCAGCGATGGTAGCATTTTGCTTTCCTTGAATTTCACGTTCTTGAATATCACGTTCTTGAATATCACGTTCAAAATACTACAGTACATTTAGCTCCAATGTTATATGAAAAGTTTTGAATGACAAAAAAAAAAACCACTGTCTCTCTGTCTCTGTCTATCTGTCTGTCTGTCTATCGATCTATCTATCTATATAAAGAGAGAGAGTTATTTATTTTTAATATATGCACACACAATCTGTGGAAAAAATATAGCCAAATGGTTTCAGCCTGATCATGTTTTTCAACTGTTAGATGCTATCAGTGCTGAGTGGAACAATATTGACTCTTCTTTCTGTATAAGACTGTCGACAAGTTTACCCGCAACTTCAACATTTAACGAAATCAAAGGCAAAAGCTATTTCATCCCATCCAAAGTTTTTTTGTCTATTTGTTTAATTTGTGCTAATTTACTGACTAATGATTTGTTGTTAAGACCATATATATGATGTCTTGATGTGTGTGTGTGTCGTGTAGTGGAATACTCCACTGAAACAACAGATGGACTGTTTATCTTGAGTAAATGAATTAAGTGTTCATGAGTGCTTCCAACCAATTTATTATGACTTTATAATACAAAAAATAAGAAAAAAATCACACCTTTAAACATTTCCCTACATCCTCACCAAATTCCTCACAAAAATGCTCTTTAGCATTTTTTAAGAAATCATTCATGTTACTTGGTCATGCACATTTTTTGGTGAACTGTGACTGTTTTGTGCATTCAGGCTGAGACAGTGTTGTAGAAGAGGATGGGAGTGCTGTGAGGCAGGAAAAGAAGTTATGGAAAAGGCCCTGTCTGACCCCATTTCTCCAGGCAAAGGCCTTCCTACACTACTCTCTTTTGACCACTATTCAAACGTCTGACGTAAATGATCCTGGCCACTCTATTAAGATTTTTGATACAGTATAATGTTTCACTGCACTCCGTGTAAGAGGCCACATCCATTGTAATGTGTTTCCCTCATTTGTTCCCTTGCAGTTACAAACCTTAATGAATCAAGGTTTTAACATTTGTTTGTTGGAATGGACCTAATTCTCTAATTCTGTACAGTGCAGGAACAGTGGTGTGAGAATACGAACGTTATAAATTAACTCCCGGAGCCCATGGCAGACCAGGAATTTCAGTCTTCTATCAAGAACAAAGACTGCAACACAAAACCCTAAAATCACTTCTGGAACCATTTCACTTACCACTCTTCCAAATGGTTTTTGAAAATATGAGCACTGGCAAAGTTTGAGCCAAGTCAGTCAGTTAGCCTTCCTTCACTCAAAGATTCTTTTCATTTCAGCATCGCTTTACTACTTTGGTTCGGTGATTATGCCAAATTAATTTAGTAATTATGTAGTCCACATTTATTTACAATGTACGGTGGAACGTGCCATCAAGATCATAACATAAAAGAGAAAATCTGATATTTAATACATTTTTGATCGTATCCTGTCCAGTTAGTGACACTGGCAATTGTAGTAATATGAAATTAGCAATGTTATCACCTGTATATCATGTGACATTTTCAACTGTAAATGGTCTGCAAAACACATTATAGACCACTTTGAAGAATTTTCTGTTATTTCAAGATGCACATTGTTGGGGCTGACCTTTACACAAGTGTATCAGTGCTATATTAAGATTAATATAGCACCTCTATTAGAGACATAAAATGTGTTTTTTCCTATAGGTCAGCTGGTGTCCATTTAAAAATGTGTTCTATCCAAAATTGACAAAATTGATACACAGCATTTTGGAATTAAACTCTTTAATTATTTATGTAGTACTGCAACAAAAGATGAATGCCTATTATGGTCCTCTGAACAAAATGTTAATTAAAAAAAAAATAATAATGACTTGTGATCTGATAGCAATTCTGTATCAGAACTCCTTTAGCTTTAGCCCATTTGTAACCTTTGCTCCCAAACATTTTTTTTTTTTGGTTTTCTGCTATGTTTTACACAAGTTGGCAAGTGAAAGCACTTTGCCATCTGGTGGTCATTTTAAAATGGGTCAGCCAGGTGGTAGGGTCATGCCATGTGACCATAACCCATCTATTACCATTGAACGGGATGCCTAGTAGCCTACCCTGCAACAAACATGACTGAGCTTAAGCTTTCCACAGGGGGGGTTGATATGGTCACATGACCATCCATCTGCACAAGCTGTGCTTACTCAATTCAAGATGGCTGCCAGATGTCAAACACAGCTATTGCAGAGAGAGAGAGATGGGGAAGAGTGGAAGAGATCATATCTAATATGTCAGATGGAATGTGTGAGAGAGTGGGGGTCCATCTGCGTCAGATATACCCCTCCCTCTACCTCTAATTCTGTGCTGCTCCATGCCTTTTCCCTCTCTCTACATTTGTCATGGTTCTCCATTTTGTTCTTCCCCTATTTGTTTTCTGCCCCAGTATCACAGTGGAGTGTGTGTTTTGGAACAATGATTTAGTATGGCCAAACAAAGCCAACCAATAATTGGATTCTCATGCTGAGAGGTTGTGCTTACAGGCAGTGTGGCTTTTTCACTTACCCTGGGTACTTCGGCTGCATGCGCATTCTTCATCAGCCGTTTCATTGAGTTTACAAATAGGCAGCTACTGATGTGTTGAGGTACTACTTGTGCCTGATGCAGGCCAGTTGACCACTGGGCAGCAGTGCCTTTCCTCAGCAGTTATTTTTAGAGGCTGACTAACTCATTTGCTTTGCTGTTCTTGTTCTGTGACAATGTAGATGTGTCTTGTGATTTTGCTCCACCCCCAAGCATCACTGCTTCAATTTATTACGATCCTTCTCAAGGTCACATGGAGATGTGGCTCTGATTAGATTTGAATATTAAACACTGGCCAAGTTGTGTTTTGAATAGATTTCTAATCTCCTTGTTGTGCATATGTGCTCATTTTCATACAAGCACATCGCGTCCAAGAAGAGCATTTTTTGTTGCAGTTTTATTGGCTGAAAGCCTGTGCAGCTAATAGTGTCCAGTATGGCTGTTTTGTACACTTGTATATTTTCCAAAAGAAACTCACGCTTAGTTGTATTTGTTTGGGCGCCTCTGGTCAAATTAGATGTTTTGTTTCCTGAATAAAAATATGTACAGACCCTCAACAGAGACAATACTTTAGCATGGTTTAAAGCACTATTTGCTGATTTTAACATGCATTATATGGCCAAAAGTATGTGCTAAAGCATGTAAAGTGTGTAAAAATCACCTATCCTCTGTTCCATCAATCACTACAGAGTTCCAAACGGCCTCCAAACTGAAGTAACATCACCACACAAATTGTGTGTTGGGAGCTTCATGAAATGGGTTTACGGTCAAGCAGCTGCACACACGCCTAAGATCACTATGTGCAATGGCAAGCATTGACTGGAGTGGTGTAAAGCATGCAGCCACTCTGTTCTGGCACAGTTGAAATGTGTTCTCTGGAGTGATGAAACACGTTTCACTATCTATCAGTCTGATGGATTAATGTGGGTTTGGTGGATGCCAGGAGAATGCTCCCTACCAGAATGAATAGTGCCAACAGTAAAGTTTGGTTGAGGTGGCATAATGGTCTGGGGCTATTTTTCAGAGTTTGGGCTCACCCCTTAGTTCTTGTGAAGGGTAATATTAATGCTACAACATACAAAGACATTTTAGGCAATTCTATGCTTCCACCTTTGTGGCAACAGTTTGGGGAAAACACTTTCCTGTTCCAGCATGACCGTGACCCTGTGCACAAAGCAAACATATATATATAGACAAGATTTGACAAGTTTGGTGTGGAGGAGCTCCAGTGGCCTGCACAGAGCCCTTTGGCACCTTTGGGAAGAACTGGAACATTGATTATAAGCCCGGCCTTCTCGTCCAACATCTGTGCCTGACCTCACAAATTCTTTTTTTATTAAATGGGTGCAAACTCACACAGACACACTCAGAAGCGTAGAGGCTGTCATAGCTGCAAAGAAGGTCCAACTCTGAATTAATGCCCATTGTTTTGGAATGGGATGTCCAACAAGCTGAGATAGGTGTGGTCAAGTGTCCACATCCTTACCTTTTTCCAATACGTTAAACTGTGTGCACTAAAATTTGCAGAAAAATGTAATTTTTACGGATGTTACCTGTACAGAATGTGTTAACTTATTTTCATTTAAACATCACCAGAACAACTGTGTGTTCACCCAGAACTATGTGGGAAACCAAAACAGACATAAACCTATGTGCATTGTGTCTCTGCTGGGAAAGTTAATCAAAGTCAGTCTTTTCTAACTTTTGTCTACACCATAACATTTTCCAGGGGAGGAAGCCTGTGCTTTAATGGACACAGGCTAGTTATTAATGATATATGGTATAAAGGAGAGTTGAGCTCCATTTGGAGTAAAATAGCGGGGGCGGGTGGGTGTACGTGCGTCATTGTTGAGCTGGGAAAAAGTAGGAGAGTTTGGGTTGTAGGTTGCTGAAATACCCCATGGCTGCCTCTTTTTGGATTTGGTAAATTATAGCTGTCTTCCTCTAATTAGAACAAGAGCAGTTTAACTCTCAGGAGGACCACAGCAGCCATTATGACATCACACTGTTCCCACCAAC